GACACACACTTCTGCTGCTGCTCCTCTCAGACACACACTTCTGCTGCTGCTCCTCTCAGACACACACTTCTGCTGCTGCTCCTCTCAGACACACACTTCTGCTGCTGCTCCTCTCAGACACACACTTCTGCTGCTGCTCCTCTCAGACACACACTTCTGCTGCTGCTCCTCTCAGACACACACTTCTGCTGCTGCTCCTCTCAGACACACACTTCTGCTGCTGCTCCTCTCAGACACACACTTCTGCTCCTCTCAGACACACACTTCTGCTGCTGCTGCCACAGGTAAGAACTGAACATGTCTCTGAGGAACTGTTTGAATCTGTCGTCTCTGAAGCGACACTTTATTTCTGAATAACACAGTAAAAGATTTATGTACTGTGTTATTCATGTTTGCAGTGGGTTACATCGTAGCAGGATCCAGGAAATTTCTGAACACAGACAGAGGTCACACACATGGCTACTGTGTTTGTTATTATTGCATCTACTGTGTTTGATTCTCTGATCTGCAGAGGTGTGGACTCGAGTCATGTGACTTGGACTCGAGTCAGACTCGAGTCATGATTTTGATGACTTTAGACTCGACTTGACCAAATATAAAAAGACTTGCAACTCGACTTGGACTTTAACATCAATGACTCTGACTTTCACTTGGACTTGCGCCAATTGACTTGCAAAGACTTGCGTAACCCGGGCCATTTTTACCTTTCTCCGCATCTCTCTTTCTATCTATGCCGTCTCTGAAGAAACAAAGCCTCGCGGTAGTTGTAGCGCTCGCGAGAGAGTTCGAACGTGAGTTCCCCGCAGTTCGCGCAGCAACACTTCCCTAAACAAGCGGACTGCATTCCCCGGTGGGTGTGTTGTCGTAGGGGAGCTGGAAATGAGCGAGCTGCAGGTATTTATCGCGACCTAACGTCATACTTTGTTCTACAAACCGTAATTGATATGCTCTCACTACAGGCGCCTCATACAATTGAATCGACGCAGTTGTCACACTGTGTGCCGTGTTTTAAAGAGGAACTGGTGAGTCAAACTAGCGCTAGCCTGCGCTGCTCTGTTGGCTCTTTCTTATATTTTTCTGTGTGGGCGCCGAGACCTATTATTATGAGTATGTTTTTGCTGTGCTCCTCCTGCTAAAGTTTGCATACATTAGATAGTTGTTTTGATTATGTGCACTAAGCTAGATTAATATTTGCACTATTGTTTATGTTGCATTGATATGAGAATCAGTGCTTTGACTGATTGAATTAATTTATATGAGACATTTTATTATGTAATGATATATTGGTAATTATGAGATATTGCTAATGCTGGTCCAGTTGATGGCGAGCTGCCCCAGGTCCAAAGCCTAGACCCCTCATACTACCCCTATTCTACAGTAGGACATTTGGAACAATAACCACTACGGACATTAAACTGATTATATAGATACAGGTCCTAGCCCAATACTCATATTCATATATGCTGCACTTGCTACTTCCCATTAAAAACCCCAAAGATAAAAAGTATGTTGACACGGACTGCTCTGATTTTATGTGTGGTCTGTGCATGTGTAACTGAGCCTGCATCTGGCACAACATCCAATTAGATCACGTAGATAGTTTTGATTTATCAGCAGCCAACGACATGGAACAAACTGTTAGTCCATGGGTCAGAGACCAACGAGAATGCACCAGCAAAATGATTCCTAACATTATTTTGTTTGCCTACAAAAGTACGTGGAGACCAACAAGAAACAAATCGCGGTCAAAAAGACTCGAGAGGACTCGAAAGTCAAACCGTAGGACTTGGGACTGACTTGAGATTTGTTGGCCTTTGACTTGGACTCGACTCGGGACTTGCCTGTCTTGACTCGTGACTTGACTCGGGACTTGAGGGCAATGAATTGAGACTGACTTGTGACTTGCTAAACAATGACTTTGTCCCACCTCTGCTGATCTGTGTTGAGGAATCCACAACTTTGTACAATCTTTGTGAACACACACACTTGTAACAATTTGCCTATCTTATCGAGACACCAGAGCTACAACGCTTTAAAAGGGTCGCGAGAGGAGATGTCACATCAGCGGGGTGAAATAAGCACAGATACAGAACATGCATTTGGCACAAGACTGGCTATTGCGGCGTAAAATGTCCAAACTGAGGCAATACGCCACGGCAGGCTAAGACACGGGCTATGTTGCTGACGCGTAGATTCATTCGTATGCACATAGGGACTTACTTGATGTTTTGTGGAGTTGACTCAGTTGCCCTTCCAAATGATGATGGTCAACAGAAAGTAGCAGCCCGTGCTCACCCTGCCATGATGCCTATTCCACAGGTGTGCACATGCCCCTCTTAAGCCCAACACAGGTGCAGCCTAATTGAGAGACGCCACTCTAAACTGCCACCCAGTGGACAAACTAGGACAGTGCGTGAGCCCTCAGTCACTAAATAAGAAAAGCTAATATGTGGCTCCTACATTCCAGCCCCTAATTATTACCAAGAAATAATTACCCATCACCACTAATATGCAGGAGACACACAAACAAAACAAACATAAGTGTCCATAGAAGCAATCACTGTTCTGCTTCCTGTAGCAGACAGATCTTAGTGATTGGTCGATCCAGTATGCTCGTTTTAGTTCGAACTCTTACGGTGTGCACAAGTCCATTCCTGTCAGGAACAGTGCTCAAAACTCTTGCGGTAATCCAAGAACCTCACGGAGCCATATCGTCTAACAGCAGAACAATGTCTCCGGGCATAAAGTTTCTTGTGGTACTATTCAACTTCTGGCGCTCTTGAAGAGTTGGAAGGTACTCCTTACACCAACGTTTCCAGAACAGATCTGACATGTACTGCACCGGCTTCCAACGACGACGCGCATACACATCAGCCTTATCAAACAGACCTGGAGGTAATGATGGCTGTGACTTGAGAAGCAGGAGATGGTTGTGGGGTTAACGTCTCCAAATCATTGGGATCAGTGGAAGCCTTCGTTATTGGCCGGCCTTTTAATAATCGCCTCTGCTTCACAAAACACTGTAGCCAAACTCTCTTCGTCCAGACTCTGAGTCCTCATGATAGAGTTCAGGACCTTACGAACTGACCTGATCAATCTCTCCCAGTCACCTCCACGGTGTGATGCAGTAGGAGTATTGAAAATCCATGTTATGCCCTTCTGCATCAACGTGCCATAGATACGATGGTGATTCAACCTTTCCAAAGCTTTCTTAAGCTCTCGTTCCGCGCCCACAAATCTACCTTTAGCACACAGTGCACTCAGTTCATGACATAACAAAATTGCTTCCTTCTCGGACGCAACAGAAACCAAACAGTCATCAACGTAGCAATTGTGAAGAATAGCATTCACCGCCACAGGACTAAACTGATCGCAATTATCTTCAGCGCACTTCCGCAGAGCAAAGGAGGCACCGCTTGGCGAGGATGTGGCACCGAACAAATGTACCACCATCCTGTGTTCCACCGGCTCTTGCTCACATTGCCCATCAGGCCACCATAAAAATCTCAATAGATCACAGTCTTCAGGTGGCACACGTACCTGGTGAAACATGGCCTCGACATCTGCCATGAGCACTCAAATGTCTCAAGTGCAGCCATTTTTGAAGATCTTTCGTACTCGCAATGTTGCCTTTGTGAACAGGCTCGCTTGTGTATAGATCTCTGGTAACTCACAAAACTTTTCGGAGTCCAGACCAGCTACTTCCAAGTCAGACAGCACGTAGCTGTCCACCAACTTCTCATGCCCCATTGTTCGAAGAAGAATTCCGATTTTCCTTCCTGTAAGATTAAGCCTATTCATGAGTCTCTCTCTACAAAACGTAGCAGTACTATCAGGGTCTAAAAACGCAAATGTTAACAGGGTCTCATGTCCTCGCTTGGACTTCACTCGAACAGGCAGGATGGACAATGCACAGTCCTGTTTGCCGGCCCCGTTAAACCACTGGATTGAACAGCCACTACAGCACCTTGGCCGGCCCCGTTTGTGCCACTACCAGCCTGTGAAAAGTAGTTCTTACTTTTGGATTGGAAATGCAAAAACGTAGCGTGCTTAAGATTGCAAACTCTGCATGATAGACGTTTCCGACGATCTTTACTTCTGTGCCCAATGCACAGACAACTAAAACACAAATTGTTTTCCTTCAAAAAAGACAACTTCTCTTCTCGTGTCTTCTTATCCAATAGAAGGCAAACATCCAAAGCATGACCAGCCCCACAAAACAAACACACGTTCAAAGTACAGTTCTTCTCTCCCTTATGGACAGGCGCAACCCTATTCTCTACAGGTGCTATTGTAGTGGCAAAACTACCTTTAGGTTTTGTACCCGACTTAACATATTTAAACCACAAGCTAGCTGACGAACTGAACTTATTTTTCAGTCGCTTTGATGCTGCCCCTGACACCTCTCCCTCCCCCACCCCCCACTACTCTAACGACCCACCCATCAGCCCTGCCCCCAGCCTAACAATAGCCGCTAAAGAGATTAAACAACTCTTCTTGAGGCTGTTCAAAAGCCTTTTCCGTGCCATGTAAGTAACAGGAAGTCACAGACTTGGAAATTGCTTTGGCACAGTGCAACAGTCAGAAAGAGATAATAAAAATAAAGAATAAAAAACACTTCTAAGGAATAAATGTAAATTTAAAATAGAGTTACAGTTACAATATACAAGTGCACATGGTGCACACAGTGTAAGGTGACAGCAGTACAGTGAAGTAAAGTGACGTATGATGGGCAGTAAAGGGACTTTATAAAGGGCGGGGGGACAGGTTAAGAAGTGTTCAAGAGTCCAACAGCAGAGGGGAAGAAACTGTTCTTGTGGCGGGAGGTTCTAGTCCTGATGGACCGCAGTCTCCTGCCTGAGGGGAGTGGTTGGAATAGTCCATGTGTAGGGTGAGAGGGGTCGGCTGTGATACGACCAGCCCGGCCTCGAGCTCGGGCGACGTACAGGTCCTGCAGCGATGGAAGGCTGCGGCCGATCACTTCCTCTGCAGAGCGCACAATGCGCTGTAGTCTCTGTTTGTCCCTGACTGTGGCTCCAGCGAACCACACGGTGATGGAGGAGGTGGTGGAGGAGGTGATGGAGGAGGTGATGGAGGAGGTGATGGAGGAGGTGGTGGAGGAGGTGATGGAGGAGGTGGTGGAGGAGGTGACGGAGGAGGTGATGGAGGAGGTGCTGGAGGAGGTGGTGGAGGAGGTGGTGGAGGAGGTGATGGAGGAGGTGGTGGAGGAGGTGATGGAGGAGGTGATGGAGGAGGTGATGGAGGAGGTGAGGATGGACTCGATGATGGCCGTGTAGAACTGCACCAACATCTGTGCAGGCAGCTTGGCTTTCCTGAGCTGCCGCAGGAAGTACATCCTCTGCTGGGCCTTCTTGATGAGGGAGCTGATGGTCGGCTCCCACTTGAGGTCCTGGGTGATGGTGGTGCCCAGGAAACGGAAGGACTCCACAGAGGTGATGGGGGAGTCCATCACGGAGGGTGGGGGCGGGGGGACAGTGCTCTTCCTGAAGTCCACAATCATCTCCACTGTCTTCTGGGCGTTCAGCTCCAGGTTGTTACCACTGCCCCAGGACACCAGCCGGTCCACCTCCCTCCTGTAGGCGGACTCATCGTTGTTGGAGATGAGTCCAATGAGGGTGGTGTCGTCCGCGAACTTGATCAGCTTCACAGAGTCGTGGCTGGAGGTGCAGTGGTTGGTGTACAGGGAGAAGAGCAGGGGAGAAAGAACACAGCCCTGTGGGGCTCCTGTATTTATAATCCGAGAGTCCGAGACATTCTTCCCCAGACGCACTCGCTGCTTCTTGTCCGTCAGGAAGTCAGTGATCCACCTGTAGGTGGAATCGGGCACGTTGAGCTGGGAGAGCTTGTCCTGGAGCAGGGATGGCAGGATCATGTTGAAGGCAGAGCTGAAGTCCACGAACAGGACCCTGGCGTAGGTCCCCGGGGAGTCCAGGTGCTGTAGGATGTGGTGGAGGGCCAGGTTAATGGCGTCGTCTACAGATCTGTTGGCTCTGTAGGCGAACTGCAGGGGGTCCAGGAGGGGGGGGTGAAGGACTTGAGATGGGAGAGAACCAGGCGTTCAAATGACTTCATGACGACAGACGTAAGTGCTACAGGTCTGTAGTCGTTGAGTCCTGTGATCCTGGGACTGCAGAGAGGTGTTGAAAATGTCAGTGAACACAGGAGTAAGCTCACTGGCGCAGTGTCTCAGAGTGGCCGGAGACACGTGGTCCGGGCCAGGAGCTTTGCGGGGGTGCAGCCTCAAGAAGAGTTGTTTGATATCTTTAGAGGCTATTGTCAGGCTGGGGGCAGGGCTGATGGGTGTGTCGTTAGAGTAGTGGGGGGTGGGGGAGGGAGAGGTGTCAGGGGCAGCATCAAAGCGACTGAAAAATAAGTTCAGTTCGTCAGCTAGCTTGTAGTCGTCAGCACAGGGGGGGCTTTGGGTTTGTAGTTGGTGATCTCCCGTAGGCCCCTCCAGACAAAAGCAGTATCGTTGTTACCAAACTGCTCCTGTAGTCGTTCTCTGTGCCGGGACTTGGCTGCTTTCAGTTCTTTCCTGAACTGATATTTAGCTGCTTTGTAGCCGCTGCGGTCCCCCTCCCTGAAAGCAGACTCCTTTGCTTTTCGGCCTCTTAGCAGATTCATTTGACTCCATTGTTCATTCACACACAAAAATCCAATATCCAGGAAAAACTCAAATTACACACAGTGGCTTTAATTTTCCAAAACACTTGAACAATGTACTGCAAGCGTTCTTCTCATTCCCCCTAATCCTTACGTAGGAACTAAACTAGACTCAACCCTAGTCTTCTGTGCGTACTAGCGATGGGGTCTCACCCTGCCATGATGCCTTCCCACAGGTGTGCACATGCCCCTCTTAAGCCCAACACAGGTGCAGCCTAATTGAGACGCCACTCTAATCTGCCACCCAGTGGACAAACTAGGACAGTGCGTGAGCCCTCAGCCGTGCAGATACTAAATAAGAATATTTTAAGCTAATATGTGGCTCCTACACTGGCTATTTATTACTGATCCCAGTCTATCACTAATACGCCAACACCCCCACGCTCGAGCGCGATCCCACACAATAAAACAAAAGATGATCACAAACAGCCAACTGTGGCGCTCTCAATATGTGGAAACAAAAAAAGAAAGAGTTAGTGTCAGTGGTGAAGCCACGGTGTACTCACGGCCCCGCGCATGCACCACGGTTCACAAAAACGGGTCCTGGAGCCCAGCAGCGAAAATGGAGAGATAATCCACACAGTCTCGTTAGATCCCTCTGCACACGGTAATCCAAAAAGTCACGGTAATCCAAAGGACGATACTCCAACAGAGATTATAATCCGCAGAAACGAGTCCTCCAGGTAAAGGTGCTGGCCCAGCTCCAAGTCGGCGTCTGACGTCAGAACACGCGCCCCCCCGCGCCCGTGCCAGTGACTCCTAAATAGAGTCTCTGAATACACCATCAATGGCAAAAACAATAATAGTAACTGAAAGCTTATGTAACAAAACACAAAACAGACCTGGTACACAAAATTGGTTGAAAAATACAGATTTCCACCCCTCCTGAGTGAACACTAAGGTAAGGACCTATGTGGGCGTTACACACTAACACTAACTCTGGACACACACACACACACACATACACACACACACACACACACACACACACACACACACACACACACACACACACACACACACACACACACACACACACACACACACACACACACACACACACACACACACACACACACACACGTCTCTAACCCTGTCTGTGATTTCAGGCTCAGTCTGTGAAACCTTCTGATGGGTCAAAACCAGACCCTTGACACTCCTGAGAGAAGGTTAGTTTGAAACATCTGTGAATCACTGTTATGTGTGTTTTGTATCAACCCTAGAGATCTAAGTTTCCCTCTGTGTGGGACCAGCACCTCTCTGGTCACACACCTCACAGAGACCTTTACAGAGACCTCACAGAGACCTCACAGAGACCTCATAGAGACCTCACAGAGACCTCATAGAGACCTCACAGAGACCTTTACAGAGACCTCACAGAGACCTCATAGAGACCTCACAGAGACCTCACAGAGACCTCACAGGACAGAGACCTTTACAGAGACCTCACAGGACAGAGACCTTTACAGAGACCTCACAGAGACCTCATAGAGACCTCACAGAGACCTTTACAGAGACCTCACAGGACAGAGACCTTTACAGAGACCTCACAGAGACCTCACAGAGACCACAGGACAGAGACCTTTACAGAGACCTCACAGGACAGAGACCTTTACAGAGACCTCACAGGACAGAGACCTTTACAGAGACCTCACAGAGACCTCGCAGAGACCTCACAGAGACCTCATAGAGACCTCATAGAGACCTCACAGAGACCTCACAGGACAGAGACCTCACAGGACAGAGACCTCACAGAGACCTTTACAGAGACCTCACAGAGACCTCACAGGACAGAGACCTTTACAGAGACCTCACAGAGACCTCACAGGACAGAGACCTCACAGAGACCTCACAGAGACCTTTACAGAGACCTCGCAGAGACCTTTACAGAGACCTCGCAGAGACCTCACAGAGACCTCACAGGACAGAGACCTTTACAGAGACCTCACAGAGACCTCACAGGACAGAGACCTTTACAGAGACCTCACAGAGACCTCATAGAGACCTCACAGAGACCTCGCAGAGACCTCACAGGACAGAGACCTTCACAGAGACCTCACAGGACAGAGACCTCACAGAGACCTCATAGGACAGAGACCTCGCAGAGACCTCACAGAGACCTTTACAGAGACCTCACAGAGACCTCACAGGACAGAGACCTTTACAGAGACCTCACAGAGACCTCATAGAGACCTCACAGAGACCTCACAGAGACCTCACACAGAGACCTCACAGAGACCTTTACAGAGACCTCGCAGAGACCTCACAGAGACCTTTACAGAGACCTCACAGAGACCTCACAGGACAGAGACCTTTACAGAGACCTCACAGAGACCTCATAGAGACCTCACAGAGACCTCACAGAGACCTCACAGGACAGAGACCCCACAGAGACCTCACAGGACAGAGACCTCGCAGAGACCTCACAGAGACCTTTACAGAGACCTCACAGAGACCTCATAGAGACCTCACAGAGATTTCAAAGAGACCTCACAGAGACCTCATAGAGACCTCACAGAGATTTCAAAGAGACCTCACAGAGACCTCACAGGACAGAGACCTCACAGAGACCTCACAGGACAGAGACCTCGCAGAGACCTCACAGGACAGAGACCTCGCAGAGACCTCACAGAGACCTTTACAGAGACCTCACAGAGACCTCATAGAGACCTCATAGAGACCTCACAGAGATTTCAAAGAGACCTCACAGGACAGAGACCTCACAGGACAGAGACCTCGCAGAGACCTCACAGGACAGAGACCTCACAGGACAGAGACCTCACAGGACAGAGACCTGACAGAGACTTCACAGACACCTCACAGGACAGAGACCTCACAGAGACCTCACATAGACCTCACAGAGACCTCACAGGACAGAGACCTCACAGAGACCTTTACAGAGACCTCACAGAGACCTCATAGAGACCTCACTGAGACCTCACAGAGACCTCACAGGACAGAGACCTCACAGAGACCTCACAGGACAGAGACCTTGCAGAGACCTCGCAGAGACCTCACAGAGACCTCACAGGACAGAGACCTGACAGAGACTTCACAGACACCTCACAGAGACCTCACAGGACAGAGACCTCACAGGACAGAGACCTCACAGGACAGAGACCTGACAGAGACTTCACAGACACCTCACAGAGACCTCACAGGACAGAGACCTCACAGGACAGAGACCTGACAGAGACTTCACAGACACCTCACAGAGACCTCACAGAGACCTCACAGAGACCTCCCAGAGACCTCACAGAGACCTCACAGAGACCTCCCAGAGACCTCACAGAGACCTCACAGAGACCTCATAGCGACCTCACAGAGACCTCACAGGACAGACACTTCACAAGAGGGAGACCTCAGCAGTGTTTTCAGAAACATAATAAAAGCAACACGTTATTGTAATCCAGTTACTTCAGTGGGGAGGAAAACCCTGCAGTAGCACTCCTTCCACTGAAAGAGCTCCTCTCCAGATGTACTAACATGATCAAGTATTCCAAAAGTCATGTAACTTAGTCACTCTTTCAGCAGTAAATAAGTAATGTAACTATATACTAGAAGTAATTAGTAATTTGTAACTAATTACATTTTCAAAGTAACTTACCACACACTGGACCCAAGACACAGAGGACAGTGTGACTTCAACCTTAAAGAACCTTTCACATCAACAGCTGAACTGACTGGACTCCTGTTAGTGCCCAGAGTCAGAACTAAACATGGGGAGGCTGCTTTTCAGATTCATGCTGCTAAAATCTGGAACAATCTTCCTGAATATGTGAGACAGGCCTCCTCTCTGACAATGTTTAAAACCAGGTTAAAGACGGTTCTGTTTAACTGTGCTACAACTGAGGGATTTTATATTTTTAATGTTCTGTGATTATTTATAATTTTAATGCTTTCTTGTTTCATTCAGCACTTTGAGTTGCCTTGTCAGATTCAGATTCAGATTTCAGATTCATTTATTTGCCATTTGCAGTAAAACCACATTGGAAAAACTGTGCAAAACTACCCCGGTGTGCACCAGAGGACACACACCAGAGCTCTTGCCAATTGTGTATGAATTGTGCTATACAAATAAACGTGCCTTGCCTTGAAAATCGACTTCTGGTTTAAGACGCTTTTATAGACTATTTATTATGATTGTGATATTCTCTCCTCTCCTCTCTCTCCTCTCTGTCTCCTCCTCTGTCTCCTCCTGTCTCCTCTCTATCTCCTCTCTGTCTCCTCTCTCTCCTCCTCTGTCTCTCCTCTGTCTCCTCTTTGTCTCCTCCTCTGTCTCCTCCTCTGTCTCCTCTCTCTCTCCTTTCTGTCTCCTCCTCTATCTCCTCTCTATCTCCTCTCTGTCTCCTCTCTGTCTCCTCTCTATCTCCTCTCTGTCTCCTCCTCTATCTCCTCTCTGTCTCCTCCTCTATCTCCTCTGTCTCCTGTCTCCTCTCTGTCTCCTCTCTGTCTCCTCCTCTATCTCCTCTCTGTCTCCTCCTCTATCTCCTCTCTGTCTCCTCTCTGTCTCCTCCTCTATCTCCTCTCTGTCTCCTCCTCTGTCTCCTCTCTCTCTCCTCCTCTATCTCCTCTCTGTCTCTTCTCTATCTCCTCTCTGTCTCCTCTCTATCTCCTCTCTGTCTCCTCTCTGTCTCCTCTCTATCTCCTCTCTGTCTCCTCTCTGTCTCCTCTCTGTCTCCTCCTCAGTCTCCTCCTCAGTCTCCGCCTCTGTCTCCTCTCTATCTCCTCTCTGTCTCCTCTCTGTCTCCTCTCTGTCTCCTCTCTCTCTCCTCCTCTGTCTCCTCTCTCTCTCCTCTCTGTCTCCTCTGTCTCCTCTCTGTCTCCTCTCTGTCTCCTCTCTGTCTCCTCTCTATCTCATCTCTGTCTCCTCCTCTGTTTCCTCCTCTGTCTCCTCTCTGTCTCCTCCTCTATCTCCTCTCTGTCTCCTCCTCTGTCTCCTCTCTCTCTCCTCCTCTATCTCCTCTCTGTCTCTTCTCTATCTCCTCTCTGTCTCCTCTCTATCTCCTCTCTGTCTCCTCTCTGTCTCCTCTCTATCTCCTCTCTGTCTCCTCTCTGTCTCCTCTCTGTCTCCTCCTCAGTCTCCTCCTCAGTCTCCGCCTCTGTCTCCTCTCTATCTCCTCTCTGTCTCCTCTCTATCTCCTCCTCTATCTCCTCTCTGTCTCCTCCTCTATCTCCTCTCTGTCTCCTCCTCTATCTCCTCTCTGTCTCCTCCTCTGTCTCCTCTCTCTCTCCTCCTCTATCTCCTCTCTGTCTCTTCTCTATCTCCTCTCTGTCTCCTCTCTATCTCCTCTCTGTCTCCTCTCTGTCTCCTCTCTATCTCCTCTCTGTCTCCTCCTCAGTCTCCTCCTCAGTCTCCGCCTCTGTCTCCTCTCTATCTCCTCTCTGTCTCCTCTCTGTCTCCTCTCTGTCTCCTCTCTGTCTCCTCCTCTGTCTCCTCTCTCTCTCCTCTCTGTCTCCTCTGTCTCCTCTCTGTCTCCTCTCTGTCTCCTCTCTGTCTCCTCTCTATCTCATCTCTGTCTCCTCCTCTGTCTCCTCCTCTGTCTCCTCTCTGTCTCCTCTCTGTCTCCTCTCTGTCTCCTCCTCTATCTCTTCTCTGTCTCCTCTCTCTCCTCCTCTCTGTCTCCTCTGTCTCCTCTCTGTCTCCTCTCTGTCTCCTCTCTGTCTCATCTCTGTCTCCTCCTCTGTCTCCTCCTCTGTCTCCTCTCTGTCTCCTCTGTCTCCTCTCTGTCTCCTCTCTGTCTCCGCCTCTGTCTCCTCTCTATCTCCTCTCTGTCTCCTCTCTGTCTCCTCCTCTATCTCCTCTCTGTCTCCTCCTCTATCTCCTCTCTGTCTCCTCTCTGTCTCCTCCTCTATCTCCTCTCTGTCTCCTCCTCTGTCTCCTCTCTGTCTCCTCCTCTATCTCCTCTCTGTCTCTTCTCTATCTCCTCTCTGTCTCCTCTCTATCTCCTCTCTGTCTCCTCTCTATCTCCTCTCTGTCTCCTCTCTGTCTCCTCTCTGTCTCCTCCTCAGTCTCCGCCTCTGTCTCCTCTCTATCTCCTCTCTGTCTCCTCTCTGTCTCCTCTCTGTCTCCTCTCTGTCTCCTCCTCTGTCTCCTCTCTCTCTCCTCTCTGTCTCCTCTGTCTCCTCTCTGTCTCCTCTCTGTCTCCTCTCTGTCTCCTCTCTATCTCATCTCTGTCTCCTCCTCTGTCTCCTCCTCTGTCTCCTCTCTGTCTCCTCTCTGTCTCCTCTCTGTCTCCTCCTCTATCTCCTCTCTGTCTCCTCCTCTGTCTCCTCTCTATCTCCTCTCTGTCTCCTCTGTCTCCTGTCTCCTCTCTATCTCCTCTCTGTCTCCTCCTCTGTCTCTCCTCTGTCTCCTCTCTCTCTCCTCCTCTATCTCCTCTGTCTCATGTCTCCTCTCTCTCCTCCTCTCTATCTCCTCTCTGTCTCCTCCTCTGTCTCCTCTTTGTCTCCTCCTCTGTCTCCTCTCTATCTCCTCTCTGTCTCCTCCTCAGTCTCCGCCTCTGTCTCCTCTCTATCTCCTCTCTGTCTCCTCTCTGTCTCCTCCTCTATCTCCTCTCTGTCTCCTCTCTGTCTCCTCTCTGTCTCCTCTCTGTCTCCTCCTCTATCTCCTCTCTGTCTCCTCCTCTATCTCCTCTGTCTCCTCCTCTATGTCTCCTCTCTGTCTCCTCTCTGTCTCCTCCTCTATCTCTTCTCTGTCTCCTCTCTGTCTCCTCTCTGTCTCCTCCTCTATCTCCTCTCTGTCTCCTCCTCTGTCTCCTCTCTCTCTCCTCCTCTATCTCCTCTGTCTCCTCCTCTATCTCCTCTCTGTCTCCTCTCTGTCTCCTCTCTATCTCCTCTCTGTCTCCTCTCTGTCTCCTCTGTCTCCTCTGTCTCCTCCTCTGTCTCCTCCTCTGTCTCCTCTCTGTCTCCTCTCTGTCTCCTCCTCTGTCTCCTCCTCTGTCTCCTCCTCTGTCTCCTCCTCAGTCTCCTCTCTATCTCCTCTCTGTCTCCTCTCTGTCTCCTCTCTGTCTCCTCCTCTATCTCCTCTCTGTCTCCTCCTCTGTCTCCTCTCTATCTCCTCTCTGTCTCCTCTGTCTCCTGTCTCCTCTCTGTCTCTCCTCTGTCTCCTCTCTCTCTCCTCCTCTATCTCCTCTGTCTCCTGTCTCCTCCTCTGTCTCCTCTTTGTCTCCTCCTCTTTCTCCTCTCTATCTCCTCTCTGTCTCCTCCTCTATCTCCTCTCTGTCTCCTCCTCTGTCTCCTCTCTGTCTCCTCTCTGTCTCCTCTCTATCTCCTCTCTGTCTCCTCCTCTGTCTCCTCCTCTTTCTCCTCTCTGTCTCCTCTCTGTCTCCTCTTTGTCTCCCCCTCTCTCTCCTCTCTGTCTCCTCTCTGTCTCCCCCTCTCTCTCCTCTGTCTCCTCTCTGTCTCCTCTCTGTCTCCCCCTCTCTCTCCTCTGTCTCCTCTCTGTCTCCCCCTCTCTCCTCTGTCTCCTCTCTGTCTCCTCTCTGTCTCCTATCTGTCTCCCCCTCTCTCTCCTCTGTCTCCTCTCTGTCTCCCCTCTCTCTCCTCTGTCTCCTCTCTGTCTCCTCTCTGTCTCCTCTCTGTCTCCTCTCTGTCTCCCCCTCTCTCTCCTCTGTCTCCTCTCTGTCTCCTCTCTCTCTCCTCTCTGTCTCCTCTCTGTCTCCTCTCTGTCTCCTCTCTGTCTCCCCCTCTCTCTCCTCTGTCTCCTCTCTGTCTCCTCTCTCTCTCCTCTCTGTCTCCTCTCTGTCTCCTCTCTGTCTCCTCTCTCTCTCCTCTCTGTCTCCTCTCTCTCTCCTCTCTCTCTCCTCTCTCTCTCCTCTCTGTCTCCTCTCTGTCTCCTCTCTGTCTCCTCTCTCTCTCCTCTCTCTCTCCTCTCTGTCTCCTCTCTGTCTCCTCTCTGTCTCCTCTCTGTCTCCTCTCTGTCTCCCCCTCTCTCTCCTCTGTCTCCTCTCTGTCTCCTCTCTCTCTCCTCTCTGTCTCCTCTCTGTCTCCTCTCTGTCTCCTCTCTGTCTCCTCTCTGTCTCCTCTCTGTCTCCTCTCTGTCTCCTCTCTGTCTCTCCTCTGTCTCCTCCTCTGTCTCCTCCTCTGTCTCCTCTCTGTCTCCTCTCTCTCTCCTCCTCTATCTCCTCTGGCTCTCTCTGTCTCCTCTCTCTCCTCCTCTCTATCTCCACTCTGTCTCCTCCTCTGTCTCCTCTTTGTCTCCTCCTCTGTCTCCTCCCTATCTCCTCTCTGTCTCCTCTCTGTCTCCTCTCTGTCTCCTCCTCTATCTCCTCTCTGTCTCCTCCTCTGTCTCCTCTCTCTCCTCCTCTATCTCCTCTGTCTCCTGTCTCCTCTCTCTCCTCCTCTATCTCCTCTCTGTCTCCTCTCTGTCTCCTCTCTGTCTCCTCTCTGTCTCCTCCTCAGTCTCCTCCTCTGTCTCCTCTCTGTCTCCTCCTCAGTCTCCTCCTCTGTCTCCTCTCTATCTCCTCTCTGTCTCCTCTCTGTCTCCTCTCTGTCTCCTCCTCTGTCTCCTCTCTGTCTCCTCTCTGTCTCCTCTGTCTCCTCTCTGTCTCCTCTCTATCTCATCTCTGTCTCATCTCTGTCTCCTCCTCTGTCTCCTCTCTGTCTCCTCTCTGTCTCCTCTCTGTCTCCTCTCTGTCTCCTCTCTGTCTCCTCCTCTGTCTCCTCTCTATCTCCTCTCTGTCTCCTCTGTCTCCTCCTCTATCTCCCTCTGTCTCCTCTGTCTCCTCTCTTTCTCCTCTCTGTCTCTCCTCTGTCTCCTCTCTATCTCCTCCCTGTCTCCTCTCTCTCCTCCTCTTCTCCTCTGTCTCCTGTCTCCTCTCTCTTCTCCTCTCTTTCTCCTCTCTTCTCCTCTCTGTCTCCTCCTCTTCTCCTCTCTCTCTCCTCCTCTGTCTCCTCTCTGTCTCCTCTCTGTCTCCTCTCTTCTCTCTCTCTGTCTCCTCCTCTGTCTCCTCCTCTGTCTCCTCTCTGTCTCCTCCCTGTCTCCTCTCTCTCTCCTCTCTGTCTCCTCTCTGTCTCCCCCTCTCTCTCCTCTGTCTCCTCTCTGTCTCCTCTCTGTCTCTCCTCTCTCTCCTCCTCTGTCTCCTCTCTGTCTCCTCTCTCTCCTCCTCTGTCTCCTCTCTGTCTCCTCTCTGTCTCCTCTCTGTCTCCTCCTCTGTCTCCTCTGTCTCCTCTCTGTCTCCTCTCTGTCTCCTCTCTGTCTCTCCCCCTCTCTCTCTCTGTCTCCTCTCTGTCTCCTCTCTCTCTCCTCTCTGTCTCCTCTCTGTCTCCTCTCTGTCTCCTCTCTGTCTCCTCTCTGTCTCCCCCTCTCCTCTCTGTCTCCTCTCTCTCTCTCTCTCTCCTCTCTGTCTCCTCTCTGTCTCCTCTCTGTCTCCTCTCTCTCTCCTCTCTCTCTCCTCTCTCTCTCTCCTCTCTCTCCTCTCTGTCTCCTCTCTGTCTCCTCTCTCTCTCCTCTCTGTCTCCTCTCTGTCTCCTCTCTCTCTCCTCTCTCTCTCCTCTCTGTCTCCTCTCTGTCTCCTCTCTGTCTCCTCTCTGTCTCCTCTCTGTCTCCCCCTCTCTCTCCTCTGTCTCCTCTCTGTCTCCTCTCTCTCTCCTCTCTGTCTCCTCTCTGTCTCCTCTCTGTCTCCTCTCTGTCTCCTCTCTGTCTCCTCTCTGTCTCCTCTCTGTCTCCTCTCTGTCTCATCTCTGTCTCCTCCTCTGTCTCCTCCTCTGTCTCCTCTCTGTCTCCTCTCTCTCTCCTCCTCTATCTCCTCTCTCCTCTCTCTCTCTCCTCTCTATCTCCACTCTGTCTCCTCCTGTCTCCTCTTTGTCTCCTCCTCTGTCTCCTCCCTATCTCCTCTCTGTCTCCTCTCTGTCTCCTCTCTGTCTCCTCCTCTATCTCCTCTCTGTCTCCTCCTCTGTCTCCTCTCTCTCCTCCTCTATCTCCTCTGTCTCCTGTCTCCTCTCTCTCCTCCTCTATCTCCTCTCTGTCTCCTCTCTGTCTCCTCTCTGTCTCCTCCTCAGTCTCCTCCTCTGTCTCCTCTCTGTCTCCTCCTCAGTCTCCTCCTCTGTCTCCTCTCTATCTCCTCTCTGTCTCCTCTCTGTCTCCTCTCTGTCTCCTCCTCTGTCTCCTCCTCTGTCTCCTCTCTGTCTCCTCTCTGTCTCCTCTGTCTCCTCTCTGTCTCCTCTCTATCTCATCTCTGTCTCCTCCTCTGTCTCCTCCTCTGTCTCCTCCTCTGTCTCCTCTCTGTCTCCTCTCTGTCTCCTCTCTGTCTCCTCTCTGTCTCCTCTCTGTCTCCTCCTCTGTCTCCTCTCTATCTCCTCTCTGTCTCCTCTGTCTCCTCCTCTATCTCCTCTGTCTCCTGTCTCCTCTCTTTCTCCTCTCTGTCTCCTCCTCTGTCTCCTCTTTGTCTCCTCCTCTGTCTCCTCTCTCTCCTCCTCTATCTCCTCTGTCTCCTGTCTCCTCTCTCTCCTCCTCTCTTTCTCCTCTCTGTCTCCTCCTCTGTCTCCTCTCTCTCCTCCTCTATCTCCTCTGTCTCCTGTCTTCTCTCTCTCCTCCTCTCTGTCTCCTCCTCTGTCTCCTCTTTGTCTCCTCCTCTGTCTCCTCTCTATCTCCTCCCCATGTCATTCTCTCTCCTCCTCTATCTCCTCTGTTCCTGTTTTCAAGCTTATAAACCTAATTATTGTAATTCTTTAGATATCATACATTATACAAAAATATAATTATCTACAGTACTCTGAACACACATTCTAACATGCTTTTTAAGGATTACTTTGTTCACTTCCTCTTGTCGAAGCCCAAAAATGCTGTGGGAAGAAGAAAGTTGAAAACAGTTTCCAACCAAAGGCATTCCAATCAATCTAATCGTTTTTCATAATTTGTTAAACATTTTAAAATGTGTTTGTCAACAGAGGTTTAAAAAAACCCAAAACGATTTAAGTCAAGAATGTATATACATTATACATTTGTACTTTGGGAAAACATTTATGTTGCACTCTACAATTGTTGCGGACATTTCTACTCTCAAGACACACAGTGATGGAAGCAAGGTCACAGGAGGCATACAAGAGCTATTGTATATGTTTTTTAGTGAAACCGTAGCACCCGGAGGAAACCTTCACAGACAGGACCTTCTTGCTGTGAGCACAAGCGCTAACCACTGCTCCATATCATTTGTCTGCGGCCTCTTTAGATATCAGCATCTTTGTATTGTATTTGTATTTTTTAGTGGTATATTTTTGACCATAAAACACAATAGTATGATGTACATTTAGTGTTTTTTCAACAACATAAAAAACACAATAACAGAACAGTTAAACCAATGACAAGGGGGCTTAAGGATTTTGATTAATTTTGACCAATCAGGAAGCTGTGGGGGTGAGCATGGGCGGATTCTTACCAGTGCTTGACTTCAAAAAGCAGTCAATGCCTCTAGGACAGGGGTCACAAACATTCTGTATCACTAAGAAGATTCATTGCCTTTGGTTTTCAATCCAAGCAGCTTTAATCATTTTGTTCATAGCAATATATTCAAAAAATATATCCACACTCATATTCAATAAAAGTTAATAAATAAATAATTATGATTTAAAAAGTCAGAGATGCAAACGATGAGCTATAAACAAAGAGAAACGTTTGATCTACTGATTTCCTTGTTTTTGTCTCTCGGTTCTACGAGCACAAACACTTACATTCACTTTTCTCTCAGTCCAGGAGCTAAACTGTATGTGGAAATTAAAGAACTTAGCTAATGCAGTATTTAATTACGCAGTTTTAGCTTAATTCTTTATTGGCAGGTGCATAGATCAGTTAGCTCCATTATCCTTATATTTTGCACTCACACAAACATATGATAAATATACCCCTACATTGGGCCCAATATCACTCAGACCTGACCTCATTCGGCCCCCAGCTAAATTGAGTTTGAGATCCGTGCTCAAGAACATAGACTGCTTCACCAAGAAACACACAAACATAAGTCTTTCTCCTTGAGAGACTCTGACAGAGCTAATGGTGTTTGCATTCTTTAGGTTGAAGTATAGAACAGAAAACACACACATTGATGGAATGGCCATCACAGTTTTTTTTTATTTAACCAGGAAAATCCATTGAGATCGAGATCTCTTTTTCAAGGAGTCCTGGCCAAGAGGTCTGTAGCACACGTCACAGGCACTTTACAGAGCAACAGTAAAACAATACAATAATAATACAATACAATAATACTACAAAGTACAAACAGTGAATCTACAAAACATGTACATGAATGTACAGTTTCCTTTATGGCACCTGCTGGCCTGTGTGCACGTTTATATTGCTAGGACTTGAAGCACGTCATAACACTTTGTCAGTGTCGGAGGTGAGCGATAGAGTTGCAGAGGCCTGTGTCACAGTACACCAGCTGTACAGAGCACCAAAGCCCTGCTTGCATTGACGTCATTTGTTCCAACCATGGACTGGAATCAGCAAAAAGTGGTGTAATGTATGTTGTGTTTAAAAGCTGGGGGACCTATTCCAATAGGTAGGAAAAAGTAAAATGTTGCGCACAAATCAGACCACAACATGCTGTCTTCATCTATAAAGAAAACATGTTAGTGTTTGTGCACTTGTAAGAACGAGCTCTTTCTGTCACTAAACAATGTTTTGGGCTGATTGGTGGTGTGAGGGTGGGCTTCTCTCATTTTTCTTTCTGAAGAAGCTGATCTAAAAATGTGACAGAACCCCTTAAGTACATGCATGTGAAAACACAGTCGATGGTGAAAACCAGTGATAGAAGCAACAAGGAACTATATTAGATACATTTTCATTTTTTGTGGTTAGAAAGCCAGGTACAACTAGCCTGGCTCTCGCCAGACCCTTGTAGTTCCCCTGAACTTGTGCTCTACAAGGGTGTGGCGAGAGTCAGGCTAGGGTACAACAGCTTTAGTGACAAATTTAATGAATGCATTTTTGCCCTGCCTTTTGTTTACAACACATATGTGACAATAATTACAGGGATCCTTGTAATGGAAAACTTATTAACATATCTTGTATTGCTGTAAATAGATTGATTCATAATATTCCCAATCAGCCAAAATGTTTAATCAAAATGTTAAATTAATGAATAAATTATCAAACCATTGTTTTATTATACACAAATCTTGGACAGGTCTAGTAACTTTTGTTATTGTGTGGAAACGTGTGGAGAAAGTGTCCAGGAAGTATCAGTTTGTATCATTGAAAGTGTTAATTGAATTCCCCTTTTTGTATGATAGACTCTTCACAAAAATGTTGACCTATTGCAAAATAAATCGTTGTAACAAAATAACTATAGCATATGAAACATACATGCGCTACATGAATAAATAAAATAGTAAGTAATCTCAAACGCTAACAGCTGTGCCACCCCAAGTGTTCGTTATTTATAATTAAATACGGGAGTTATTTTTTCTTTTTTTTTGAGTAAATTGACTTCAGATAGTGTAATTGATGGTATAATTGCTTATATGTTCCATATGTTCCTATGGGATCACTGTCTTATCCTAATTATTATGAGAGACTTGCTAGGAGGTGCATTTAAAAAGTTTCTCTGAGTTTTTTTGGCTCATTTCAGTAGAACAAATGCAGTTTACGGAAAATCAGTCTGGTAGACTACCTGCTGCAGTTACAACTCATCCAGGGCCGGCTCCCTTCATCTTAAGCCTATCACACAGCACGTACTTATGCCACCACTAGGGCCCAGACCCCGGAGATCATAAAGTATCACACAAGCAATGATCTTTCCTGCCCTAGCGTCACAGCCAGGGTCTATTTGCCAAACAAACAAAATCAATAAACTCATTTTATGTATCTTCTGTCTACTCCATTTTGAACAAGCTAACTCATGAGATGGAAAAAAGTAAAATCCTTGGTTGATTATTGATTTTGTGCATGTACAATTGTAAGTGTAATTGCTTCCTGACAGTTTAGGATTTTTATTTTTATTTTAAACCCATGAAGATCAGTCACAAAACCAGACAAGGTCCCAACAAAGAGAAAGTGCTGTGCTGCATTCTTCAACATCTATATGTTGTCACTAGAGGGCAGTAAAGAGCTAAACGCATTGGATCCTCAGATCTTCATCTGCCCCAAAATATAACTGTCTGGAGGTATACGAAAACGAGTGTGAAGAAAATAATTTCTTAAAGAGTCAGACGTATACGTAACATGCAGAAATGTCTCAGTTTTTTGTTCATACATTCCACTAACAATAATGTTATTGAGATGTAGAAGTCAGCTATCACATCTGTGGCAACGGTCCGTGTACTTTTGCGTTCAATAAAATTTCTATTTTTGAAGGGAAATGGAAAATCGAAAAAAGGCTATTTTGCATTATCAGGCACACAGCAATATAAAAAAAATTACCATTTTGGTTTTTTCATTGCTTATAAGACATCTATATATATATGTATGTATGTATATTATAATAACCGGATTTGGGAACTAGAAAATGCAATAATGAACCTTTTTTTTTTATTATGTATTAAATACAATATTTTATTATGTATTAAATACACTTAGGCATATTAGGAGTATTTGATATTACCAGCACAGGACATGTATTACAACCAACGAAAATTAATTTGATGCTTCTTGTTCCATGATTTAAAGCAACTATCTATGTAAATGGAGAGCTCTACAAAACAACATCAAATAGCTGCCAGGAGGAAACTAAAAACTTTGTTTTAGTTGTTGTTGTTTGACTTTAATTTTCAGTTTTTTTGTTGTTGCTCTCAGCGTATTGGGTTGTGTTTTTTAAAATAAAATGTCTTCTTTTCTTCCAGCATATTTGGAGTCACAAATCGATTATGTTTAAAAAAACCCCAACAAAAAACGCATGTAAGGATTTCAAGGAGACCCGAAGAAGACAAGCAACTGCACCACAGAGACTAATGGGGATCTTATTAAACTAAACTATACAAAAATTGTGTGTCTACCAATCATACACACATTCACATGAAAACACATGTATTGCAAATTGTTTTATATGGTCATTGTGATTGTTAAAGCTGTGGTTCCTAACTTAAAAACCATACAATTTAACGACAATCCACTTAACTAGTATAAAACTATTGTGTTAGTTTTAACATGCATATATAATATTTGTCTCTTTACCTTTAGATCAACTTCTTTCAGACCCAAAAGTGAGATAGAGAGGACCACCCTCACACACCTCATGAGCCAGTCAGCTCCAACGATAGACTACATAGGCTCCACCATAAACAATTTATGAAAATAATTAGATAACCCAGATTTAATTTCAGGGCTACATCCATAAACACATACTCAAGAAGTATTAATTGCTATGGCAAACAAACTTAAACTTTAACAGTGGTAATTTTCTGCATCGAAAACTCTTATTCTAAATGAGAGGTTAGAAAAAGAACGAGTTAACGAAATAATCCATCACTGGGTCAGCTCTGTACGCATGCGCACCACGGTGCCTGTCAGTACCATAGCAACAGCCACAGCGCAGAGACATCCACACATGATGGTGAGAATTTCTACCTCGTTTATCAACAATTTACACTCAAAATGGTTAACAAATGACTATGGGACGGTGATTATCCAACACCCTTGCTTTTAGCTCTAATGGTACGCTATTTTTATGTCGCTGGCAGCTAACAGCGGCTAAGTAACATTAATTAGCTAGCTAGAGTTGTTGTAATAGACTTGCTCTGTGTTAGCAAGCTAGTTTATTCCCACAAAAGCATGTATTCAACTGGTTGATTAAGAAAAGGCTTGCCCTATACGTGTCTTTTTTAACAAGCCCTTGCTTTCAATTTAAGTAAGCTGTACATAGAAGAATTTCCATTGAGTTTTGTAAACATATTGTTTCTGATTTTCTTGCTGCTATCATGTGGTAATAATCCAATGGTTTGCTGTGTTTAGGCAAAAGCAACAACAATTCGAGAGGCTCTGTCTAAATGGGTAAGCATTATGGTTCATAATCTTTCATCATAATTGTATATGTTTGTTGTTATAACAGTGTTGTAGTAGTAGTAGTAATGATAACAATATGTTGGATATTACAGGAGGAAAGGACCGGAGAAAAAGCTAGTGAAGCCAAAGCTGTGAAGCTTTATGCTCAGGTGCCACCTATAGAGAAGATGGACGCCGCTCTCTCAACGCTCAGCAAATGCGAGTAAGCCATGCGCTCAATGAAAGGCAGAAAATAATCTATTACATTTATTTATAGCGAACACAATAAATAGTGAGATGACCAATGTCCATAAATGCCCCAGATTCATCACTGTCCTTACCCTTCTGCATCAAACGTTACACAAACACAAACATTGGCTTAATATATTACAATAATTATGCACTTTGTCTTATAAACAGTGGCTACATACACAATTTACTATCTTGGTTAACTCAACTTGACTCAAGTTGATAAAATGAAGATATTATATAATAGCATTAAAAAAACATCAGAACTTCTTATATTCATGTTTACAAGTTTGTCTGTTGGATGTGGGAGGAGGAGGCAGTTATTTAGGAAAGCACCCACCCCCTTTCTAAACAATTTACAAACAAACTTTCATCATAAGAAGAATACATTAAATCCTTCCCTGCATGTCTCAACAGTACTTCTAAAAGTCTGCTTCTTACAGGAAACTCTCACTGTCCACAAACTGCATTGAGAAAATAGCGAATCTCAACAGTCTAAGTGAGTTTTAATCATTTAATTTTTTTTTTTTTTACTGAACTTGCTTTAAGCGTTTTCTCACCTTCTGTTTTGTTTATTGTTGCAGAAAATTTGAAGATATTATCTCTGGGTCGAAATAACATCAAAGTACTGTCTGGGCTCGTGAGTGAATAAATGGACAAATCATTGACCGTATATTAGGAGTGGACTAACCGAACGCTAAAGTCACTCATTGTGTTAGCCTTAATGCGGAAGAGGCTGATTTTAACATAAGCAAGCTGTTGTCATCTTTATATTTAAAGTTGCCTTTAAATTTGCCTTAGCAGACAAAGATGGAGTTTTCCTACAAATTAAGACATCTGATTGGTCAATTCAATGTGTACTTTTCAATGTAAGTCAACAGGAGCCAGAGCGATTTGGAGCAAAACTTCTCCATGAGCACTTCATTGAGCTAGGGTGTTAGCATTGTCCATCTATCTACAGTCGAGGTAACAAACGTTTATGTGCCCTTGTATGAACGCAGGAGGCTGTTGGCGAAACACTGGAGGAGTTGTGGATTTCCTATAACTTAATTGAGAAACTGAAGGGCGTACAATGTATGAAGAAACTCAAAGTGTTGTACATGTCCAATAACCTGGTCAAAGAATGGGGTAAGCGCAATGTTTTCATAGTCTTGTATTGTATTGTTGTCATTAATATGCTTTAGAAAGATATATGTATTATGGTTACTCCACACAAGTCAAAATAAATCGCATATAAAATGTGACAAAGCAATGTAGTGTGGCTCTGTCATATTTCACCACATTTCTGAATCTTTTCTACTAAATTAGCTGCACATAGTTTATTTGCAGATAAGACATTGACTTGCACCAGTTCAGTGTGTGTGTGTTTTGGCCCAGTGATTGGAGAGAATCTTTATTAGCCACAAACTAATAAACCAGTGCAACATATTTGCACTGTGATAGTAAAGATCCAAATTTGTACTATGGAACCTTTCCTTCAACCCAATTTCTAACTAAGAACATAACTTACTGTGATGTTGCTTTAAATTCTATTAAACAAATGTAACATGTTTATTTATATTTTATTATTTATAAGTACACTACAGTTCAAAAGTTTGGGGTCACCCAAGTGTTTTCCATGAAAAGTCACACTTATTCACCACCATACGTTGTGAAATGAATAGAAAATAGAGTCAAGACATTGACAAGGTTAGAAATAATGATTTGTATTTGAAATAAGATTTGTTTTACATCCAACTTTGCTTTCGTCAAAGAATCCTCCATTTGCAGCAATTACAACATTGCACCAAAAACCAGACATTTGCAGCTAGAATAGTTATTTACCACATAAGCAATGTATAGAGTGTATTTCTTTACAGTTAAGACTAGTTTGAAGTTATCTACAGTGCTTTTCCTTCAAAATTAAGGACATTTCAATGTGACCCCAAACTTTTGAACGGTAGTATATGTTTTTTGCATTTCAGTGGAGTTTGTGAGGTTAGCTGATTTGCCGTGTCTTGTGGACCTGGTTTTTGTCGGTAACCCTTTGGAGGAGAAGCACTCTGGTGAAGGAAACTGGGTGGAAGAGGCGTCAAAGAAACTCCCCAACTTAAAGAAACTGGATGGTAAGAAGAATGCCAAATGCCAAAGATGTTACTGGCATTGTCTGATTCTCTATTAACTACAATAATTCAATTTCTCTGTTCCAATCATTTATGGAAAATGACTTACAAAGCCACATGTTACTACGACACTTGACAATTATGTCTTGGAAAAAAGGAACAGGACTAAAATAATATCTTTCCAGATTACCAAATAATTACAGTGTAATCTTTTATCAAATTAAACATGCAGATTTAACATGCATTTTTATACCCGTGTTTTACCGCACTTTCCGAAACAATTTTTACTTGTAATAATGATAATAATACATTTATTTTATAATGCACAATACAATTCCAAAAAACCTGATTACATATATAACAAGCTTTATAAAATATGATTTGAAATAACATTTTTACTGTTTTCCTAGTGATCTGTGGGGTTGGTTGTAATTATTATAATCTTTTATATTTTTTAAAAGGAACACTGGTGATCAAAGAAGGAGTGGAGGAAGCAGAAGACGAGACAAACTGAAGGACTCAATGCTAAGATGCTTTTATTTTTATCAATTACCATTATAAGCAAAACCATATGATGTCAAATTGCCTCGCAGAAAAGCCAAGATTCCTCGTACTGTTTACATACCAGGCACATTTTATGATGCAGTCAGTTATGAATGGTAAAACCTGCAAATAAGCTGCAACGCTTTCAAATAAATCCAGGTTTTATCAATGGATTCTTATGAATAATAAAAGCACACAGGTACAAACAGAGCTTTTTTCAAGTTGAGTTTGAAGAAGTTTGTAATCGGATAATTGAAGCTATGGTCTCCTTAATACGATTCTCAGGGAGTACCTAAAAAGTACCATCATGTAGTTAATTGTAGCATTTAATTATCACGATACAAAAAGGGACCAAATGGCCAAAAATTATTATCTCAACACTGTGTTGTGAGCACTTCCTTTGCCAAATACTGGATTTGTTTGGGACATTAGATCATTTAATGAATCTATGCATTCTTTCTGTAATCTGTTTGTTCTGTGTATATATTAGTAAATTGTTGTATGTACTGTATTGGCTTTATGTTCAATATGGCAGGAGATGCTGCATTTAATGAATGTAGAGTGTTGTAAATTATTGTCAATTTTTTTTATATACAAAAATATTAATTGCTTATTAAACAGCTATGATAATTTGGTCATTATCTAGTAATCCTTTCTACGCTATGGTTTGAATCCTGGTCAGAACGGGAGTTTTCTGACGGGAGTTTTCTGACCAAGCCGTGCATCAAAAACCTGTAGATGGCAATTTAAGTGTTTGCAAATACCATAAACTCCAAATTATTAAGGGAAATAATTCTTGATTTGAGTTTATGTTGACTGTTTTGAATTAACATTTAATAATAGAATAGGTAGCCTTTCTTAAACATTGATTTAAGCAAAGATATTTCTTCCCCCTTCGTTCCAAGTGAGAATTAACTTAATATTTATTTATATGTATGTCACAAAATCGTGCAGCATTAGATTATACTGTTTCTCCCATGGAAATATATTATTTTCTGCATTCAGATGTACATATACAACAATGGAGTTTTTCTATTTGTCGGCGTAATTCTATACGCAGCTCCCATTGGCCAGTATCAATGGCTGTCACTGACCGTTACTATGGAAACAACCTACAACTAGGAAGTGAATTTGTACCGCGAAATACCAACGTTTCCGAAGAACTAACTTCAGCGGCTCAATGCGAAGATCGATGACCAGCGTCTCGTAACTTACCAGGGTTCGTAACAAATAGGGATGAATTTTCTGTAATAATGCAGAAAAGTGTCGAAGTGAAGCAGGTGATTTTAGCGCTGTGTAAGCTGCTGTCTTCGGCTGGTCTCGGGTCTGTCCCCACACCGGAGACGTTCAGACGGGCGAAGTTTGGAGGTGGACCCGATGTGGTAATGTAACTGTTCACAATTCCAACTTATTCGTCTTGCAAAAGTGATTACACTTGGAGCGAAGACACTAATTCGTGTCCAGCCTTGGTGTGGCTGTTAGTGGCATTTACACAATGAATATAAGCTCAGTGCATTATATAAGCTAAATAACTTGACATTAACATAGCGTTATGTCAAGTGTGAAGTGGCGTCATTTTTCCAATAGTCCGCTATTTTTCCCTTTCCAAACTACGGTGGCTTATATCACATGATGGTTGATGCATAATCTAGTTATTAACCAACCATTTAATCCAAATCGATGTAGCGTTAGTACATGTTTGCAAGCTGTGTACGTCGATAATATGCTGTTGTCATTTTATTGTGTATCGTAATTGTAATTGTAAATGTAAATTATGAATTCATAATTGGGATTTTTCAATTTACTTTATAGAACTCTATTTGTGGGCTGCACATAGACACACACGTTAAGTTTGATCTGCCTAACCATCTAAAAAATGAAGTGACATTACAGGTAAACTTATGTTCATCATTCTCTTCTTACAGGAAGAAAATCTTTGGGCGCTTCTAGCCAATATCCTTGAAAAGACGAATGCTGATTCATTCGATATCAGCAAACACCCAAAGACAGGTCAGAAAACCAGGTTATTGCCAGCAATTCTCTTTCTGCAGTCAATCCATGATAGTAGTTGCTTTACTTCTCTTTCTGGACCCAAAGCACATGACCATGGGTGAGGATCGCAGATTGTATAATGTGTTTGAATCGCACACTTTAATGTGTCACACTTTAATATGTCACACTTTAACAAAAAAGATTTCCTAATAAATACATTATTCTGCGGTTGATTTTTACCAAGTGCAGAACGATGGAAGCTGGTGACTGCTGGGCTGTGCCAGACTGGATACTATGCAGATTGGATATATCGCAATCCCCGAGAGGGAGAGGCGTCTGTGGGGTCTTTCTGCAGCAGAGACCTCCTTCTCGCACTAGGATGGCTCATTGCAGATGGAACCATGGAGAAACTATTGTCACAGCGCGTTGAGGAACTGGACCAAACTCTGCTCACATCCACACCTGTGCACCTGGTAAAATTCCAAAGATATACTAGATGTTTTAATCAAAGTTTTGCGAAAATAATCCACAGTTGTAACAACAAAATATGGCTTTGTTTACAGTGGTGGAAATAAAGAAAAAATTACACAAACCTAACATCAGCCTATTTAGCTCAAGAGCTATCACAACGAGAAGAAGATGCTGCTTTAATGCATTCTGATGTAAAAGTGATTGAGATGGAATAAGTTGTTTAATGAATATTGCGCTAAATTATAATGTATAAAGATATAGTTGTTGTTAAGGGTAATTTCAGTGGTTGCAATATGCAAATGCAGCTGCCCTGATAAGGAATTTTAAGTCTATACCTATATAATACTTTATCTACAATAATTGTATGAACTTTGATACATGCTTTTATTGTATTTTTGATTCAGTTCACTTGATTCCCATAACATTTTAAATGCTACACCTTTCTAGCGTAAGATTACTATATTCTTTCTTTTGAGCCGTAAAGTAAGAAGTAAGTAAGTAAGTAAGTAATGTTTATTTATATAGCACATTTTACAGACCAATGTCACCCAAAGCGCTTTACAATGTTCAGAGTTCAGATATTGTTCCAATCATTCCACACACGGTGATGACGGAAGCGAGTAAAGGAGAAAACATAAAACAACAAATTTGTATTACTGTTTTTTGTTGAAGGAGAGTATTGCCAGTGTTTCCGGTGAAATCCAGTTAGACTCAAGCTCTCTGAGGAGGCTCCAGTGGCGCCTGGGTTCACTGAGACACCAGGGCCGGATCCTACTGTCCATGCAGGAAGAACGAGCGCGACTCCTGCATAAGGTGAGTCCAAACACTTTCCGACCAGACCTGTGTTAGTCGACCCGGAATTAAATCGTATGCCGAATGGGAACAATTGTGGGAAAGGGAGGTTAATTGTTTGGACCTGTGTCTGGTTTTCATCACAGGGAAACGTGTGTCAAAATAATGGGTCGAACTTCCGATTTTCAAAACAAGTCTTCTAAAGTCACGTAACACAGGACCAGAGGGAATCATGGTCTACAGGGAGTTTATCATCCACGTGGAGCAACATTTTACAATGTTAAGAGCTTCACTCTTGTTACACGACTTGTAATATGCTGTCATTCTGCAACAGCATAACTAAAACTAGTTTTATAATTTTCATGTGACGCACATGTAAGCAAAGAGCTATAAAACATTTTGGTTTAATATTTTCTCACTTGGGGATACATTTGTCACTTAATATTTGTTTGTATAGCACATTTCACACACCGAGGTCACCCAAAGTGCTTTAAAACATTTTTGGAGTATCATTTTTTTCCATTTACTCCACAAGACCTATGGTATTGCTGGGACCACAAATAATAACCAAAGCGGCACCTAGTATTGTTCACGCTGAACACGCCTCAGCCAAAAAAGTAGGTCGTGAGGCGGGATGAATGGCTAATCGTTTAAAAGGAAGAGGCATCCTGGGAATTTCGGTTAAAAACAACCTGTGTTTTTTAGTACCACCAGAGGGAGCTGTCATTTCTTGTTGGCCACAGTCACAAAAAGCCTGTATTAAACAGTTTTTAACATGTTTGTTGTTAGGTTTTGAACATGGACCTTGGGTCACATGTAGGCGCTGCTTCCTCAGATGAAGAGTCTGCCATAATTATAAAGGTAATTCCTTTTTATATTCTTTATCAAAGACATCAAAACAGACAGACACATCAACGAGAACAAAAAAAAAAATATATATAAATGGGTGCTGTGGGGTGTCATGTATGCAGCATATTTGTTGAACCTCAGGATCATGACCCAATCATCTAGTCTGAGGCTGAGCAACCTCTGAGGGAGACCTGCCCTCCACCATTGCTGCCCATTGTTAGTGTGTTTTTAAATTATTATTAGGGCTGTCAAAAAAATCGCGTTAATGTTTCATTAATTACGTTAAAAAAAGATTTACGTGTTTAACGCATGTCCAAATAACCCGCCCATGAATCCCATAATATCACTCAGAATGCCGCGGACACATGGGTGTGTGAGATGGCGAGCAGGTCTCTGGAAATTCAAGTTTTAAAAGAATACGCGCATGACCGCGGGGCACATGCTGTTGTTTGCTGTATGAACAGAAGTCCGCATTCTCCGTGGCCGCAGTATTCTGACCCGGGGCAGCTGCGGCCGCTTTGGACAGAAGTTCCCACCTCCAGCGGTCAAGTGTCTTTGCGTAACCTGTGCGTAACCTGTGCACCCAAATACACCACTGAAGCTGAACTATGGAGCCTCAGGAAGTGTCCGCGTCTCCTCCTGAAACTAGGGATGTAAAAAACTATGAATTTTCATGACCGACCACCGAGCCTCATTAACTGGTTGAAACCGGTTAACCGCGTAGTTTAAAATATTCCACGTTCTTTAATATAACAGTCATTTTGAGCCGCGTACTTCTCATTAGTGCAGCTATGCGTTCTACTGGATCAGAGCTGAGAAAGCGGCGCCAAAACTCGTAACAACTTTGGCACCTTTTCGCACAGAGAACTGCTTTTTTAATCTTCCCATACTTCTGTGCTGCGGGTTAGTAAGGGATAATGTATAGCATACAGGTCATTATCGGAAAATAAGTACCGACGCGCGGGTCTGCTTCCGCCCTGAAGGTACTTATTTTCCGATAGGGCTGGGCAATAAATCGAATTTTGGCAATTAATTGGGTTTTGAAAAAATCGAATTCGTGAAAAATGTGAAAATCGTGAAATCGAATGAGGGATATTGTGAGAGTTCCAGCAGCACATCAATTATACTTGCGATATCAGCACAGTCTGTACAAGACTTTTATAATAAGTATTAGGGGAAACAAATAAAAAATAGTTTTGAAACTTAAATATTGAGCGGGAAGATAAAAAATATTTTACGGGCAAAGTCTGTCTTGAGTGACTTTAATGAAAATCGATTTAAAATCGACATCGTCCAAAGCAGGAAATAAAATCGAGATTTTACTTTTTTGCCATATCGCCCAGGCCTATTTTCCGATAATGACCTGTATGCTATATATTATATCCCGCTTATTATACTGCTTTGTACCAACTTAACACACAAAATAAACTTCAGATCACTTTTATGAATGCCAAAAGTTTATTTAATGACAACAAATAAAGTAGTCCCAAAAGGTTTTCCCGTTGCTCGGCAACCGCGGGCAGGCAGCGTGGCTTTGCGTGTAACATCCAGCTACTTATTCACATTAAACTGGACATTCCCGTTGAAGGTGCAGTTGGAGATTAGGAATGGTAGTGTATCTCTGGCTAAGTTGAAAGCCTTACTCCCGTTAAACTCAGGAGCGATTCCCCCAGCTTCTCTTGCAGAGACAGAAGTAGTGGGCGCCTCTGGAAATAGATAACACTAGCGTAAATATGCTGAACAGGGCTTGTGGGATAGAAGGGAAACATGTAATAAGGCAACTCGCCAGAAAGGATCTGGCTCGACTTCTCCCGGTCAGATGTTGTGGGAGTCCAGTAGCTCTTCAGACTGGTTTCGCATCTGTGTCCGGTAACCGTCATAATCTCCAGTGTTTGCAGGCCGGCTTTTAACAATAGCTGCACAGCTGTACTGCGCAGGCTATGGTTGGTGTAGCGCCTCGAAAGTGCAGCTGCCTTGCTTATATTTGGCATCATTTGTCCCAGTGCATTATGCCCCATGGGCTCCCTTCAATACCAGATGTTCTGCTGGTTGAGGTCTTCCTGTGGCTTTCTAAGAGGGTGAAGGTAGAATGCAGTGGAATCCGGTGGGCAAAGGGAAAGATACAATTTAAAGCTTGCAACTGGACAATTTGGGTTTGTTGGCTCAGCCAAAATGCAGCCGCGATATATCTGTTGCATCGGATCCAAGGGGTTTTTGTGATTTATTTGTGTGTCAGCGTTGTGGGATAATGTGATAAATTCTTTTCCATTTTCATCTTGCTTGAATATAAACAACTCTCGTGTTAGGTCTCGGTTAACATTCTCTTCCCCTTCGTGCAAGGTGTAACTGAACATCAAACCATACTTTTCTCACAAGGCCAATCGCTGTGCTTGAATTGAGGACACCAGAATCTTTTATCTTCTTCAAATCAGTGCTGGAGATTGGCGGATGATGCTGGCTGGTGTCTTTGCCACTCTTGCAATTTGCCTTTATGACCGATTTATAAATATTGTTGCTGGAATTGAATAGTTGATTCTTTAGGATGTTATTGTGCTCTTCTTTGTGTTTGTCTCATGGCGGTTTTCCTCTATTTCATTAATCTCTCATTCATCTCGTCAGCCGTTAGGTGTTTATGCCTCTTGTTAGTCTTCTCTACCTCCTGTTCTTCTTGGTTGCTCTCCTCCTGTTCTTCTTGAGGTTTTCGTTTACGTTTGGGAGACGGCAAATTAGATTGTCCGTCCCACCAGTGGTCAAAATCCCCATACTCCCCGTAAATATTAAAATCCACTTTAAACTCGCACATGTTTTCGGCCAGATGGTGTCGCTCAAAGCTCGTTGACGAAGTGCCCAGACTACTTGCGGAGTGATCTGATTAGGATCTTGCGTTGCCATGGGCAACGGTCATTATTGTTTTGAGAGGTCCGTTATAAAAAATAATGACCGGTAGAACGTTTTGAAATTGCATTCAAATCAATGGAGCGTTCTACTGCTGCTGTGAGGAGCCCTGTAATAAGTAAGCATTCTTTGTTCAGCGAAAACTGAACGAAGAACTCTGAACATCAGCGGTGAGTGACCCAAACATAAACCTAACCTAATCCATAATTCGATCCTCTGCAAATGTGTCCGAAAATGTGCCGGTGTAACGCCGAGATACACTGTCTTGAAGAGATGCACTGCCTCAGCTGTTTATGATGTAATTAGGGATGTAAAAAACTATAAAATTTTCATGACCGACCACCGAGCCTCATTAACCGGTTGAAACCGGTTAACCGCGTAGTTTAAAATAGTCCACGTTCTTTGAAATAACAGCCATTTCGAGCCGCGTACTTTTCATAAGTGCAGCTCTGCGTTCTACTGGATCAGAGTTGAGACAGCGGCGCCCAAACCCGCAACAGCTCCGGCACCTTTGCGCACAGAGAAACTGCTTTTTTAATCTTCCCATTCTGCTGTGCTGCGGGTTAATACCAAAACTTTCTAGCAGCAAACGACGGCTCGTTCACATGGTCAGAGCAGCGAGTGACGAGCCGCGTCTCACAGGTCTTCACAAAAGTTTAAATACAAGTGATGTGTGTGGAGCTGATCCCGAGGACCATAAACACAAACATGTTCCATGTGGTTTGACTGGAGCCGCGTATTTGCGCGAATCCTTTGGGCTCCGTGACACAGAGGAGCGCGACAGACCGGTATGTGTGTGTGTATGTGTGTGTATGTATGTGTGTATGTGTGTGTGTATGTATATGTGTGTGTGTGTAAATGTAAGCTCCAATGTAGTTCTGACCCGCGCCAGTGTGCAACTGACGGGACGGTAACAGAGGGGAGAGATGATGGCGTGTGGATGTTACGTATGGAGAGGGGGAAAGTGTGACCTCCCCTCTCCAATTTTTCTCTTTTTTAACCGAATTGCTTTGACGGTCTAAAACGCTCTCTGTGGCCGGGTTCAACCACCGGTTTTTTTTTAAACGGTCGCCGATTTACATCCCTAGATGTAATGCAAACCTGCGCATGCGCGTCTCCACGGCCACAGACGAAAGCATACCCAAGATGGCGGACCGTTGAATTGCTGTAAAAGTTTGAAAAAAAAAACGACACGTAATAAAGACACGAATGTCCACTTTTTAATGCAATTTGAGGCGAGATGTTGATGATCCCTGTTTTGTCACTTGGGGGTTTTAAGAGTAAAAAGTTTCGTGCAAAGTTTAGTTTAAGCAGTCACTGCGCCTGTGATACCACCCAAAGCTATTGTTTTCTTAGCAGTCCGCACGGCGGCTGACGTAGGGATGACTCGTCCTGTGGCCACTCTACACCTCTTACATACTCTTACACTCTTACACTGGATCTGTTTCGGGTTGATAATGGAAAATGGGGAAAAACATCCAATCGAATTAATTACTTTGTTTTGAACACACTATTGTTAATCCATATTAAATACAGTACGATACATGTATTTAATGAAATTTATTATTTCCCATTTTCAACCCGACAGACCAGTGTAAGAGTGTAAGAGTGTAGAGTTGCCACCAGGACGCATCATCAGCCTACCGTCAGCAGCGCGGAGGGCTATGAAAACATTAGCTTTGATGGTTTACTGGCGCCAGTTGACGGCCCGAGAGGCCCGGAGTTTAAATGATTCAATTGGCCACACAGCTAGAGACAGACCGCTCGTCACACCGTTTGGACCTTTCTCCTCGTCAGTGCAAAGAGGGGATACAATAGCGTTTTTAAGAGATCCCCCCTCTCCCCTTTTTCTAACCGAGAGCTTTGACCTGTTAACACTGTGACAGTCAACCACCCTACCTGAAACGCAACTAAACTCTCTAAATTAAAGCTGGGGTATGTACATTTTCCCATCTATTAAACAGCTTCATGTGGGTTGTCCAAAGGTTAAAAAGTTGTGAGCGGAAATCAAACAGATAACAATAATGTAGTCTTCTTTTGGAGGGATTTGAGGATAGATGTTAAAAGTGCGGATTATCGTGAGTTAACTCACAATTTACTATGCAATTATTCAACAAAAAAAAGATTTATCGTTTATTTGCAGCACCTTAATTATTCATTTTTATTATTATTATTATTTTTTTTCTTAAGTTTTCTTTACTTCTTTATTTATTTTTGTTAACTCATTGATTCCTTTTCCTTTTGCAGTTGTATTGATTGTTGAAACCCACACTTTGTTTTTTTGTATTTTGTCTATAAAAGAATCAGCCATGATAAATACTAGATTATTATTTGAAGTCTTCCACAGGACCATCTGGATGTTTGTGGAGCTCTGCGGACCTGCTGGGTCGGCATATCTAAAGTTGGAAACAGGAGGAGAGTGTTTTCTGGACTTGGATGGTGAGACAAAAATGCTCAGAGGGATTAATTACTCCAAGAATACCAACAACAGCACTTTTCATGTGTATTTTCAGGACAGCGTGGTGGACGGTCATCAGACGGATCTTCCAGCCAGAAATGTTGTCCCGGCGCACAAGGGGAGCTCAGGACTTTGTGTCCATGGAAACCGGGGCTTGGGGAAACATGATAAGATGCTTCAGAGACTTTCGCAAACACAGGTGCACAACAACCCATTCAGACCAGAACAGTGCAGGGAGTGTGGGATAATTAAACTGGAATTAAAGTTAGTCACAAGAAATGTGGATGAAACTATGTTTTTGTGCTATTAATGATGATTCATAAATGGTCGAGACTAGCAAGCGCTACTCTTAACTGGTTACACTGAAATTTAAGTGGGTGAAATGCAGAGGACACAAACATATTACATGCAGAAGACCAATCAAGTTTATTTATAAGGTACAATGCATACAGAGACATAAAGTCATACACATTATAAAACATATGAAGTAAAAACAATAATAAAAAACAACGCTACTCAATGTCAGAATTAAAACTCAGTATTAAAACGCAATATATAAAACTATAAAAACTAAATATCAGTCATATGTACCGCTAAATAGAACGGTTTTCAGCCTGGACTTAAACAATGAGAGATGGGGCAGACACCTATAATGCTGGTATGTATCTATAATGTGATGGTACTTTGTGGTTCTAGCCAGGACTCGGGCTGGAAAGTAGGTTTCAAAATAAAGTATTTTTTATTGTTTGACTTTGGTGTTTTTTAGGAAGCATCAAAAAATTCCACAGTGGACCACATTACTGCTGTTGGAGCTGAGGGTGTATCTGACTCCTCTCTGCTCCACCGTCCTGGGCCTACATTCCTTCACGTTTTCAGACCCAAACTCCTCAAACCCGGGTCTAAACCAGGGACAAAATCGGGTCCTGTCTCCCCTCTGGAGATCTCAGCTGCAGAGGCCTCAAAGCTGCTCACAGACATGGAGAAAGAGCTGTTGAAGAAGAGGGACAAACAGAGGAAAGAAAACCGCGAAAAGCTGGAGGAGATGATGGAGCAGCTGGAAGGACTCGTGCTTATACCTCCCTGAGTTTTTATATAGTGTTTGAATGAGCAATAGTGTGCAAATCAACTTTTATCACATATCTCTTATACCATGGTACACTTGGATGATACAAACTATCGCTTCTCACGGTTATATAGTAACCGTAGAATGAGTAATTCATTCAAGTTTGAGCCATGCAATTTTATTCTGCTTTTAAGGAGTCAGTGCTTCAACAATCTCCTCTTTCATAACCACTATTCCACATTTGTTTGGTTTATAGTCCTAAATGATACTTAGATTTTTCATCAGTTTCATACAGACATTTTAGCACAAATGGGACAAAACGTTTTGCTACTGTAATATGCTGCTATGTCTGCACTTTGTTGAGAAGATGTGATGGAGCAGCAGGTATAATTCAATACATGAAGTTACAAAAAAAACGGAAATTGTTTAACTGTTGTTACAGTTAATGAACAAATGTTATTGCGACTTGTATATATTACATGAAAGGCATCTTTCTGCTGCTGTAACCTTTGAAAGAAACTTGCCTGGTGGTTAAATTAACATGTTTAACCATTTTACTTATAGCTGATTGGCGAAGAGTTAGAGATGAAAGCTTTTGTACCTAACTTTTGTTGTTTCATACCAATAAAGATGTGTCATCACCTGCATGAGAGCCAGATCCCATCAGACCTCTGAAGCTAAGTAGGGCTGATTGCTGCAAACAAATCAGACCACAACTGCATGTTGTGGTCTGATTTGTTTGCAGCATTCAACTTTTACAAGATCTCTACTGTATTAGAAAACATATCTTATGCATGCTTACAAGAAAGACGTGACAGAAGCTAAAATGCTTGAATGTAAAAAGTTCTTCTAGTTACATGATTTTGTTACATAGTTCCTTTTTTATTCTTATTTTTTGTTAGGTAAACCAGCTTCAATACTCTTTACTCTTGCATTTTTTTTGTATTTAACTCTATGCATAGATTTTTTAAAAACAGTTTTATGTGTATTGTGCTTGTGTGATCCTTGTTATGCAGAGGAGTTGATGACCAGGAGCTGCTGCATGTAGGAGTTGAGCCACTTCTCTCCATGGATGTGAGCACTTTACACCTCTCTTTGAAGGCTACATCATCGGCCACAACGCTGCGTTTCAATCCGGCTTGGGGCTAAAAACGGGACCTGGAGGGATCAGACCCATGGTATCACTCAAAAGTGATCACAGAAGTACCTTTGTGATTGATGTAATAATGAATATGATAAAAGTGGCAAAGTACAGCACTTTTGTTTTTACAAATTTGGAAATTTTCCTGGTAAGAACACAAATTTTAAGCAGTGATAATAATTGTAAATGTAATTAAATATTGTGCAAGTTTAATAGATATATATTAGGAGTAACAAGTCTTTATATATTCAAATTTGCGAGTTACACTACATGGTTTTAGGGACTGTCAACTAAAGACAATCTGCCAATCGCGTCATGGCAAGAGTGGGGGAGAGGCAAGGAAATAGCTTTCTAAATCAACATTTTTTGTCCTTCGCAAATGTACAACTGCATTGGATTTTTAAAAAAGGATCTTAAATTAAAAATAAATAAATAATTGTGAACCAATTAAAGTAAAGTTTGTGAATTTATGATATAGTGTTTTTGCATACCAACAAATAAATACCACATATCAAATCTTATCACTAAGCTTGTTAACTTTGAGCATTTGATTTTCTCACATTCTCAATTTTTTAACTATTATCAATTCAATATTAACAAAAATACATTGAATTGATAATAGTTAAAAACACGTTGTAACGAATATGAATCCCATGTAGTGACTTTTGTGCTGGTCTTTTTGGGGCGACCAGCGCTTTGATCCTGTCTTTGTGCCTTTTGTCCGACTCTGTGATGACTTCATTGGCAGTAATCAATCAGATAGCTCGAATGAAGCTCAAACATCATCCCTTCTAAACTGCTTTTAAACTCAAACAATAAAAAAATGTATCTGTAAACCTCAAATACACAATACACACACAAAATTATATCATAAATCACATTTTAAACCTTGAAAAAAAATACCTTTTAAAACATGTGTAGCATAAACTGACTTCTTTTAAGGTGGTTTGATTACAGATGTTTGCTACTTGGAAAGTTAGCAATTGTCTTCATATTAAGTCCATTTGAGTATTGCATCAATACTAACTTATACAATGAAACACCAAGTAGTAACAGTATGATTGACACCCTCTAAATGAAACATGTAATACCTTCACCAGAAAAGTTACATCGGCAGCTTTAAACTGTTTCTTTAATGACAGATATCTCTCTTCCAATTTCATCTTAATTTAAAAAACGTTCTATGAGGAGAATTGTTTTATACCTGTAATTGCTGAGTTGAACAAAGCATTTTCAAAAGTACCAGAATGTATTTTTAAGCTTCTTTCCGTGTGTAAGTATAAACAGGACAGAACTTTTTCTGAATCTCCGGAAGCAGGCAGCGGTGATCGCGGCTTGTTACGGACTGTGCTGAATCTAATAATGTACGACAGGAAGCAGCTGGACTTAACAATGACTTCACTTAACCTCCCCTGTGCATAACAAGTCTGACACATACGTTTTTTATAGAGAGGACTCCAAACAACAATATCAGCTGAACTCACATTCAACACATAACATTTTGACACTGAAATAAACAATACAGGAAATATACTTTATTTACAAAACAAATCATGATTATATGTAAAAAATGTGGACATTGTACAAAAAATTCATTTGTAGTAATACCGCATGGCTAAATCCCTGCTTTTTATAGGGCTGTATTTTTTTGCATTACATTAAAACAAGAGTGAACAAAATGTAAACTAGAAAAAAGTGCATAGCATTGATAAAAAATACTTATCAGTCTAGACTAGAGGGTTCTTAACCAGAGTTTTTAGTATTGTGTCCTGAGCAAGGATAAAGAGCTGTTAGAAACAATCAAATCTTATTTTGATTTGATCTTATTTTTGAGAGATCCATCCATGTTTGAGTGTTTTTGTTCTCTTGCTTTCAAAAGGAAATGTTTCCAAAATCCCTGCTACCATAACAAGTCGCCTACGTTTGTGTTTTCAAGCTATGGACGACCGCCTTATTTACTTGTGTATTTTCTACACTAAGCGTGTTTTCAAAGTACGCTAAAACCGTTTTGACCACATTGAGGTCCAGCCTACTGGCCCGGTGAGCAGTGGAGCCTTATGACGCTTTCAAAGGCAACTCAAAATTTGGAACAGTAATAGTTCATACATTTGCTCTCACATACTGTATAAGCAAACTTTTGGCAAATCTTATCACTAAGCTTGTTAACTTTGAGCATTTGATTTTCTCACATTCTCAATTGCAGCAGCACAAGTAATTTCATTTCCGCAGTGGATGTAAATGCATTCCTGCTTTTGCTTGCATGTAACAAAACCAAACAAAACAATGAAACATGTGCGGAGGGACTGTGTACTTCATCGCAGTGATCAAAATAAGTGAGTAGCCTATATACAGTATGTTTCAAAAATACATCTCTATTATATGCATTGCTTTTCCCGGGGCTCCTAAATGCAGCTGCTGGCTGTGTCTCAATGTTTGCAAATTATTTTGGTAGCAACGACCAAGTCACCAAGTTCCAATCTGTCCTCACTCACACTATTTGTTGCTAAAAGCCAAATTCGGCAACAGATGGCTCCAGATTGGTTGGTTATTCAGGCTTATATCTGGATTTACAAAAACAATATCACAATATATTCCTCCTGTGGACTCACCACCTGCAGAGGGTCAGTGAGGGGCTGGTGCTATGAGACTTGGGTGGCATCTCTGACTGCCACCCCCCTGACCCAGAAATGGATTAAAGGGTAGAAAATGGATGGATGGATGGATATCACAATATAAGCACCAGGATTAAAGAGAGCGCTAAACCGTAAGTGTGACACAAACGGTTACTGAGCTAAAATAATTTACTTTACAATGCAATTCATTAGGAGCCAGCGCAAATTGGAGCAAAACATTCGTCCATGGGCATTTCTCTATTTTTTGCGTCATTGACCCAAGGGTTTGCAATGTTCATTTATAGACAGTCCCTTCAATTCAGTTACGCAAAATGGACTGGTTTTTCAAACTTCAATCGTAGTGCACAGGTTTTCATGGGCCTTTCTCAATTGAACCAGGCGAGGGATCTGGATTTCACTAGTACTTTGTAAATGCTCCTCCCTGGCTACAGACTGATTAGGCTGTCCTCTTCTGTGCCTTCTTCCGTAGGATCTGGAGCCTCAATCTCCCCCAAGGATGTGCACTCTTCTAGGGTAGAACCAGTCACAGGTGGGGTTTTTGGCAGAGCTTCGGCAGGTACAGGTGAATCCGATAATGAAGCTGCAGCTAAGGGTCCAGAAGGTGAAGTTATGGCTTGACCAGAGAGAATGTTTTCTGTTATATTATCAGAAGAAACTGATGCTGGACTAGGTACCGGAGGGGGCACATTTCGGGGAAGTGATGCTGGAGAAGCTGGCGTTTTTACAGGTATTGTGACAGGGATTTGCTGAAGATTTGGTGGTAACATTTTGGGTGGAATCAGCAATGGACTTGGCACAGGGGGTGGCATATTTGGGACTGATGAACGAGGAGGGAAGCTAGGTACTTCGCTTGTGGGCGGTGGGGTTTTAGCTGGTGTGGAAGGCATTGGAGGAGGCACATTTGGAGGTCTGATTGGTGGAGAAACAGGAGAGGGTGCTGATCTTTGGGGAGATATTAGTGGTGGTGGGGTATTAGGTGGACCTGCTGTTGTAGTTGACATTGGAGGAGGCACATTTGGTGGTCTAACAGGCGGAGGAACTGATCTTTGGGCAGATATCGGTGGTATTGAACTGGGTGGAGCTATTGTTGTAGTAGGCTTTGGAGGAGGCACATTCGGAGGTCGAACAGACGGAGAAACAGGTGGAGGGATATTTGGTGGAGCTGATGGACTATGCACAGTTGTTGTTGATGTGGGTGGCGGACCAGGGGGAGGGTCCGTGGGTCCACTGTGAACAGGGGCGACTGGCTGGTCCTTGGGGTGGTAGACAAAGCAGTAGGCTCCTGGCTGACAGCTTTTCTTCACACTCAAGGCCACTTCAGTCAGACCTAAAGGCCGTTGCTCATCATCAATCACCACACTGAGAATGTAAGAGTCTGCAAAAGAAATATGTGTGTATAATTATAAGGAAGGCAGCATGAAATCACAGTCCGAGCTAGGGATGTGACATTATGGAACTTCTGCGGCATAAAAATCATAACCAAAACACTATGATATGAAATAACATACATCACTTTTAAACAACAAAAAAATTATTTTTGTCATGAATAAATCTAAACAGTTTCAGTTGCTTTCATGCACATATTTTATTAGTTTTGGTCACATCGGCTTTTTCAGACAGAAAACTGATCAACTCTCAGTACAAATTGTCAAATTGGGACTCAGGGATTCTAATAAGAGAAATACAGCATTGCTTGGTAACCCAATTTTAACTATTTATCAGACTTGACGAAAACAAAATGCGTTGTTTGACAAACTGCATTGTTTGCATTATTACATAATCTAACTGTTAATAAAATAAAGTTAATGATTGTAAAGCTCTAAATCCCTAAGTGGCCGACCAACAACAGATCAGAGAATTAAAAGTTTGAGAGCAGGAAATGCAATAATAACAAACAGGCAGGAGCCTTTGGTCAATAGGGAACAGGATGACCATGAAAAGCATTTTTAAATGTTAATAAATGCACAAAAATGTCAATAATCGTCCCAGATCATCACTGTCCTTTGACCCTCCTGCATTTAGTAACAACAACAAAAAACGTGAAAAAAGTGCGAATCCTCAGGGAGGCCCATATTGAGAGAGGGATCTGCTCCCAAGGACAGACAGGCTAATGTCAAACAGACATTAATTTGACCACAGATAATGTGTCCAGATAATAAATAGTAAAAACAGAGAAGTCACTTCAGAAGTCAGAAGACATACAGAAAGGATTAGACTAGCTTATCTTATTTTTATGTCAATTACTTAAGTGCCTATAAAGTGCATTTGTACCCATAGAAATTATGTATTCATTGATGGGATCTCCATGGTGGATTCCATTAGTGGTTTTGTTTTTACAAAAGTTGATCAAAAGTGAAGCGTTGTGACACTCATGAGCTTTGACAAACACTGAAAGACGTTCCTTGCTTTGTGACCTATTTTGATCAAGCGTTTCATATTTAGCTGTAAAAAGGGGTCTTTTTCAAGTATTCAAATGTACAAGATTGTAAAATGAATAAACACGGTCTGATATATCATCTGTTCAGTTGTACCTTGATCAGAAATGTCTTGTTTGAAGCGTGAGGCGCACTGTTCGCTTAACTGCTCCACGGTGGTGGTCGGGAGGACGCCCAGAGTCCGAGGGTTTTCTCCCATTATCGGACAACACACAGTCAGGAAGTCCTAAGAAAAAACACATACAATATTCATTGTATCAAAATGACATATTACTGCAGCATACAAAGTCATACTATTTGGACAGAGCTCATAATACTGTATGTTTGGGATGTTCTGAAATAGGAAAGAACTATGTCTGTCTGAAGTACTGGCTCAAACAAGGACATTAACTTGACAGCTGGACTACTTTTGAGTTTTACCCTCATGTATATACAATATAAAGTCATAATGTCCTTTTCAGAGAATTCTTTTTATTTCTATCTCTGAAAAAAGTTGCTCTAAAGTTGTGACAGAATCCAAAAAATACAGTAATTGAACCAAACCAGAAACTATAGTTCTACAGTTAGATGGATTTTATTACAGTACATAGATTATTCTGCTGGAGTTTGAGAGTTAGATACCCCAACTTTAACACTTGCAAAATGTTCACCCCACTGCTTATCCTAATACTGTGTTCATCTGAGTGACTGATGCTTTCTAACATGTTAATAACGTTTTTAATGATGGGACATCATGCCTCTACCCGGACTGAAGCCTGGTTGGGGGTCTCCTTGTTGAGGGTCCTCCTTCTCTCCCATCGGTGGATGGAGTCCTGCACCTCTCTGCTGAGCTGCCGTGTGGCTGTTCTCTGCTGGTCAAACGTCTTTATGTGCTCCAGAGCGCCGTATGTGGTGGTCAGGTAATATGAGCCTAAACACACACACACACACGCACTATTATTACAATAACTGCAAACTGATAGGCATGGCTTGATGTAGACAAAACCAGAATCATGCTCCTCTTCTGTCTAGGACTGAGCAATCTGGGAAAAGAAAAATCATTTCTGAATCTATTAAAAAACGTTTCAATATCAAGATCTCACAGATCCGTCAGACTGACCACGCCCCCCGCCGTGTGTCAATGGTGTTGAGGTGATCTGTGAGTTTGTGTGTGCTCTGTTTTAACTTTTTCTAAAATGTCGTCTACGTATTGTTTCTATAGTGTTGGATTGTATTCACAGAACTCACAGATCACCTCAACACCATAGACACGCGGTGGGGGACGTGGTCAGTCTGACGGATCTGTGAGATCTGTCATGACCGATCCAGCAACAACAGCTGATAAGAGACGCATCACACCATCACGTGGCATGAAGGCGAAAGTGTACCGCCGAAACATGTCAGGTAATTAAGCAGTACTAGCTTTCTTTACTTTCTTGTCTTATTAAAAGAACCTTCAAAGCCTATGAGTTTAAAACTCAAAATTCCAAAATATGACTTTTAAAGTCGTAATTTTGAGTTTAAAAAATTACACATGTGCAGTTGCTGCCGCAACAAAAGCACAATATATAAATAATAAAATAGATACTAATGACAACCGCTTTGAGACTCAGATCTGCAGTGAAAAGGCGGTATATAAATAAAAACTTACTTACTTACTTACTTACCAAGGGTTTTGGCTTCCATTAGATAGATCACTAGGATTTCATGTAAATATAAAATAGGCTCTATGCACGCACCACTTCCGCTTTTTAGTTATAACCCCACTTGACTCCCTGTGCGCGGGGAACGGCTTGAGTTTGACTGGAGTTCAGCAGATGTTTACACGAGTTTCCTAAATAATGCTCGAACGGGAATTAAACTGTGAGGATACTGGGCATTTCTGGGACACAGCAGTGCTCTTTGATTGTGCTGTCATTGTGCTTTTATAAAGTTAACTAATCTCTCTGAATGGCCACAATCAAAGCTATTCCTCAGAGAGAAAGCACGTCGACACTTTTGGGTCAGTCCTACAGCTGAGTTTATCAATCTAATCACTAAAAAACGTCACAACAACTCACCTGAAAGCCATAGCAATAGCATAGACAGGAAGTGAACAGGCTGGTCTTTGTTAATAGGAGATGACGTCACGCCTCCCTGTGCATATAGCCCATAATCGTTCAAGCTCTAGGTAGTGTGGGTAAACTTCTTCCGACTTGAAATCGGACACCTGTACAAACGTTCCCACCCCACGTACGTTCCCACCTTCCCGTAAATTATAACACAGTGGCACCAAGTGGATGAACAATATAACCCCAAGTAACACAGCTCACGGTTCACACATAAATACTGGGGACAAACTGTTAATTTGTTGCTTTTATTCTAAAATGAAAATGAATATAAACGTACTGGGCTGTTAGCTAGCGTTACCTTTACAAATGATAGCTCCGCAAATGTAAACATGGATGTATGATGTATTATATGCATTAGCCATCATAAATATTAAAACCCACACATGAACTTAGAAATTTACTGAGTGTTTACAGTCTATGTCTCAAAGCAGCAACATCTTCAACATAACCTGCTAACTTGTAGGCAAAGGATGTCCAGAGACCATTCCAGACAGCAAATACATCCACAGCAACAACTGCACATGCGCAGTTTAAAACTCAAAATTACGACTTTTGGAAGTCATAATTTTGACTTTTAAACTCATGATTTTGAGCTTTGAAGTGTTTAAAACAAAAAATTTGGACTTTCTGTAGGCTTTTCTTGTTTTTACATGGCGGAACCGGGCTTCCATAGAATACAGTTAATTTAAAAAAAGAAGAAAATATGTATAAAAGAAGAAGATGGTAAACTAAGATCATTTTTATACATTTGGCCCCAATTAGCTCTTCTGTTTCTAAATTTGGCCCCCAACCAATATGAGTTCGACACGCCTGCTTGCAAACAGCACACAAAAGCTAAATTCTGCCTTGTGTAACACTTTTCCTGAAATAACTTGGCTGAAAATGAAATGTTGCTATGGTCTTTATGAAGTGTGTACCTTCTCCCAGGGTTAATGCTGGGTCCATCAGCTCCATCATGTATTCCACGTCCAGCTGCAGATTGGAGAGGTTGGACCGGGCCAGAACGTACATCATCACAGGTAGGAAGTCATCTGCCCCATGTGCCCGCCCTGTGTAAATAATTTCTGAGATTGGATGACAAACCATAATACAAATTCTTTTACAACAGCAGTGGCCCTGGACGCTCACAGGTCACATTCGTACAACTGCAAAGGGGGTGAAGTGTATTTTCCAAGGAAGAACTTGTCAGAAGTGTAACATTTTCTCCAGAGAGTTTCTTGTAAATTCTTACAATTCTAGTAAAGTTATATATAGAAATTCTATAGAGCTCAAATAACAGCCATTACCATAGAAATGCATAGAAATCCAACACATTATCATAAGTATCTGGGGTGTGCATTGCCTGGTATAGGTTCGACAACTAATAGCTCAGGTTGCTTTCATGTGGCATCGCAGCATTCCAAAGAGCCTTACAGTATGGAGGGCAGCTGAAAAACCTTTCCTGATAACTATGGTAACTGTCAACATTTTAAGCTTAAATTTAGCGCTAATTTCTCTGTATTTCCTACGCCAATCCAAATTAAACAAAAACTGTCCCAGAAATCCACATATTCTTTGTCAGTATATCAACTATGGTCTAAATATTCTCTCATAAAGGTTTCTGGTAGTGTTGACAATTTTCAAAAACATATGCAATATTTTGGGTTTGGGAACACATTTTGACAGCATCTTTGTATTGGCCCCTGCCCGAAATACTGAAATAGAATTCTTGTATACCTTAATAATTAGGCTCGCTGAATTGAGGGAGCCACGACATTCAAGCGACTAAAGCTACTTTGTAAACTTTCAAAGCAGTGTCTGAAACAAAACCTAGGACCCTCTTGTTGTAGGTTGCACAAACCGGATGAGGTGACAGCCATGGAGTCGTAGATGATCTTGCAAGCTTTGAGCAGCATCTCGATCTTCCTCTGAGGCGAATACTCTAGGTGCAGGTTACTTAGTTTGATGCTGATTTTCTCCATGGACGAAGTCTCTGGGACAGATGTGGTCACTCCTAAAGCTGTGGTGGTGCTGCCCAACACTATAGACTGCAGGGAAAGAAAGTGTGTTTACAAGGTATTCCCCTAGTAATGACTTTGTAGAACCTGTGCTGAATCATTATACAGTTTCATGTCTGTCTAGTGGCAGGTAGTGACAAAAAGATGACACAAAAAGTTGATGAATATTCAAGAAATTATAATGTGATTGTTTCTCTCTTGTTTTGTAAAGCAATTTGAGTTGCCTTGTGTAAGAACAGTGGAACAACATGTGAAGATATCAACAGACCGGTAAAGGAAGGCCATTTGATAAAAATGTTTTAAGAAGTGATTTAACCCCTTAAGCTCGTTTACGCCGACTTTGACGCAAGTGAGTTATTTTTTTTAATTTAAAAAATTTCTTTTTTTTTTTTACCAAATATTTTTTAGCATCTAAATGTTTCAATTTAATTGAGATAGTCCACATTTAACTTTTTTGTGCCAAATTGTGCCAAACTACGCTATATGCATTTCCGCCTGGATTTTTCCATCAAAACCTGCATAAATTGTTATTTTTTGGTATCTATACATAAACTTGCTCCAAGGTGTCAGTAAAAGGTTGAAGTTGCATTTGATTATGTTTATTTGCTTCTTTACAAGTAATTATGTCATATAGACATCATTTTTATGTGTTTTTTTTAAGGCAAACCAACTTTTTTTGATAATGTAGCCTAAACTACTCTTGCAAACTATTGTAGACATGAAAATGTTCACACCCACAGAATCCCCAAAGACTAACTTACAATTTGAGTGAAGTTTCTAGCATTTTCAACAATGTTCAGGCTGTGAAAAGGCCTGTATAGTACTTATATGGGAATAGGCCTGGGAGTTTAAGGGGTTAAAATAATTTACTGATGTCTTCTGGCTTATCTTTTCAGGCAGGTTGTTCTAGAGCCGAGGTGCACGGGCTGAGAAGGCTCCATCACTCTACGTCCGGAGCCTCAACTTTGGAACGACCAATAAGGACCTGCCCGAGGATCTAAGGCTGCAAGGGTTTGGGGGTCTCATTGGGGGTCTCTTAGGGGGTTAAAAGTTCTGAAATATTGCTTGGTGCCAGACCTAAACAAGCTTTAAACGAGTCCAGTAGAATTTTAAAATGAATTCTAAACCGCACAGGATTTATTTTGTACCTGGTTTAGGGACAGTTTCTCAAAGCTTCCGCTGTCACGATGCAGTTTCTCCAGACACTGGTAAATGGGCTCTCTCAGTGGCTTTAACACACTTTTACACAGAGCAACTTCTGCGATACTCTCTGCAAAAAGCACAATACAATCATATCATTCATGGCATAATTAACATCATTTTTTATCTAAACAAATTAGGTCAGGTTAGTTTGGTAAATTTTTTGAGAAGTGTACTGCCAATCTCCATACTGTAAGTACGGACAAAAATCATGCTGGATTTTAATAATGCATCTGTTTTATATAGCACTTTTCTGGACACTCAAAGACGCTTTACATCATTATTCATTCACTCCACACACGGTGGTGATGAACTACTACTGTAGCCACAGCTGCCTTGAGGCACACTGACATAAGCGAGGCAACCAGTCTGTGCCATCGGCCCCTCCAACCACCACTAACCATTCACACACACACCAGACTCATTCTAGGCAATGTGGGTGAAGTGTCTTGCCTAAGGACACAATGGCAGTTTGGCACTTTGCAGCCGCAGCCGCCCCACTGTGGCATCTGGTGTTCCCAGAGGTTAAGTGTCTTGCCAAGGACACAACGACAGCAGCATGAGTCGGTGGAGAGGGTAGGCTCGAACCCACAACCTTTAGGCTTAAAGGCCAATGCTCTACCAACTGAGCTACTGCCGCTGCTGTTTTGTGTTGGTACTGTATGAACCAGGTTTAGTTGAGGCTTAGGTCAGACTTTACCCAGTTTGTCCTGTGCGTACTGGTGCTGAGGCTCCATCATGCTGTGCAGCTCCGTGCTCTGCAGCAGGTAGCTCTTCAGCTGAGTCATCATCTGCCTGATCTCCTGCAGCAGCTCAGGGGAGGTGCTGTGTCTGGACATGGTCTCCAAGGTGAAGGTGCGGTGCTCTTTTACCTGAACATAAACATGCCAGTCCATTTAAATGTAATGTGTGTGAGTGTGTATATATATATATATATATATATATATATATATATATATATATATATGTATATATATATATGTGTATATATATATGTATATGTCCTTCAGATTAATTAAAACAATAAAACCACTCATGACTCACCAGATTGCCAAAGTAGCTGGAGGGGTCCCGTGCGAGCTCTACAATCCTCTGCGTGAGGCGGCGGTCGTGGCTGATGAGTCCGGTGAGGACCGTGGACAGTCGGTGCCGCGCTCGGTCCAGGATCACCGTAGTGGGGGTCCGCTTCACGCCGGCTTTAGGGCTGCGGCTCTCTACACAACGACTGCAGAAAAACGAGGCATGAGGTCAGTCCTGTGTGGGTCTTTGCTAAGTCATAGTAGGCACTGTGGCTGGGTGGATAGCCCTCTCGCTTCTCAGCAAGAAGATCCTGGGTTCAAATACTGGTCTGAACAGACTTTCTTAGTGGAGCTTGCATGTTCTCCCCGTGTCAGCTCCGTTTTCCCCTACCACAAAAATATGTACAATAGGTCTGGCATGTCCCTTTCTCTGAGGCAACCTCGTTCCCATCGCTGTGTGGAGTGAGACATATGCCCACAATTGTGACTCTGGTCTTTGAAAGGCGCTATACAACTAAAGATTACTTACTTAGTATTTATTTTAAGCGTAAAGGCTACCTCAGCTTTTCCTCATAATAATTTGTGCCATTTGTCCCAACAGGGACCACAACACGCCACTCGTCAACCAGGCTGAGAGATGTTTGGCTGAGTGAGGGTGCTTCTCTCTTTCATTTTTCTGTCTGAAAAAGCTTCTTTCAGAAAAAAACTGTTAGATAGATTTTCTTTATGGTTTGAAAGAAAGGTAGCCCACCTTTATTATAGTGTGTATTTAATAATGTGGGTATTTTTTAGCAGAGCGTTCTTATCATTCCAGTGAAAATGTGACATTTATTTACAAATAGTCAAAACTGATTTATGATTACTACTTTTGCTGTGGGCTCACCACCTGCAAATGGCTGGTGCTCTGTGAGTTGGGTGGCAGGTATTTGCCATCCCCCCGACCTAGAAATGGACAAAGGGCAGAAAACTGCTCTGAGTGTGATGTCATAGTGGTACCATTACATCATACTATCACAGTAGCATTTAGTCAGAAAGGGCTGAAATACAGTGTTTGTGGAAGAAGTGCCTGATAATAGAGGATTTTTTCGGTGTGAATAGCATGTCTCCTTTAAGCCTTCCCTCACATACTACCTCTGCTCTTGTGTCTCCACCTCATCTTCTGTGCTGCTTGTGGACGCTGAGTCTGGATCGGTGACCAGTACAGCACCCCCCTGTGGCGAATATAACGACACATCGGGTCGACGTCCTGCCGGTGGATACGACCTGCCCAACCCCCCCCCTCCTGCTCCTGCTTGGTTCGGACAAGCAGCTAACTCTGTGCTCTGTGGCTTGCGTCTCGGCGGAGGCACCGGTCGGCTGGGTTTCTTCGCTGACAAAGAAGATTTATGCTTGTCCTCTGATGCATCTTTCCCTGTTTCCTCCTGTTGTTGTTGGCAACCGCTTTCCATTGGTCCGATTCTTTCGCACTGCTCTCCCCCGTCTTTTTCATCCTCCATCCTCTCCGCTCTCTCTCTGTTGCTGCTTTTCCTAGAGTCGCGTAGAGGAGCGCGGGGTATAGGTGGCCGTGAAGGAGCGCTCATCATTGGCATGGCCTTTTTAGCATTTTCAAGTTTGCTTTCGTCCTTTTTCTCTGCGGTTTGAAGCGGAGTCGCAAACAGGAGACCTGCACCACTCGATACGCTGGGAGGTCTGGGAGGCGGGCGTTTGTATTTCATCTCCACATGGGGTTTGTTTTGAACTTTTGGCTCAGCGTTGACCTTTTCTGGGGCTTCGCCGTTGTGCAGAGGTGGTGGTGATGTGACGTTCTGGCAGGAGGTGTATTCGGGTTTGTAGGTAGATGCCTCGGGCTTGTCTCGTGTTTTTGGGTTTTCCAAGACAATAACTGGATTTAGATGCAAATAGATTCCGCTCTGCTCCTCGCCACTGCAGTGCTTCTTTGATTGCTGATGCTTCTCTGAAGTCCAGAAATCTATAAATAAAAGAAAATTATATGAACGCCATTATACTTATATGATCATGTTTGGAGCACTGTCATTTGAGCCATCTTTTTGAAACCTGTTTATTGAATTTGGAAAGGCATAATCATTTTTTTTGTTCTCAGTTTAATTAGGTTTTCTCTTGATATCTCCCAGAAAAGTCAAAATGTTTAAATATTACAGATACAGTCCAGCAATAACTGTGACTTTATCAACAATGGATGTATCACGTTTCACTTTTCTGTCTGAGAATGCTGATCTAAAGATGTGACCAAAAATACATGTTTGTGAAAACTAGAGATTAAGCCAAACTATTATGAGAGCGAGGAGCTACTTCAGTCAGATGGATTTCAAGACATAGTTACAGTTTTTGTGGTTTGAAAGTTAAGTACCCCACCTTTAATTAGATTACTCTTATACATTAATTTAGTAGTAATGAAAACTGGAGTAGCCAAAGGAACCTTACACAGATATAGACCAAAAACAGGACAGTCCCATTGAGATTTGAAGCTCTCTTTTTCAAAGGAGTCTAGGTCAGGGGATTGCAGAAATCATTGTCTTTACTGCAGAAGAATGCAAAGAAGTGGTTCAAAACCTCTCCAACTGCATTAAGATAGATTTAAAGCTAGTGTATCTAAACTTTAAAACCACAAAAATTGAACTATGCAATACAAGTTTGTGGCCAGTTTGCTTCTATCACTAGGTTTCACATTTATTTTTAGCTTCTGAAAAAAAGTGGAAAGGGGAGGCCCAACCTCACTCAGCCAATCAGCACTCTGCCCAAAGTGTCAAATTGGACACTTTTCTACATGTTTGCAAACAATATTTTGAATGTGACAAAGACAGCATGGCGTGGTCTGATGTTCAAAGCATTTAATTTCTGCAAATTTATGAACAAAGTTTGGCATAATATTTGCATTTACTATTACAATTATGGGTCAGTTTCTTATGAATAGAGAAAACTCCCAATTTCTTGGAAGTGCCATCAGACATTCTTACCACTGCAAAACACACCATCGATATTTGTGCATTTAAAGCATTGTCCGTCCTCATCTAAAGTAAATGTAAATACCTTTTCCCGCAGCTGCGATGACCTCGAGCTCCTCTCTTTTTGTTGCCGTGGTGATGGCCTGGGGTAACCTCAGCGAAAGAGGAAGGACGTCCCTGAATGAGAGAATGAAAACTAAACGGTAAAACACACACTACCAGCGAATGGGAAGACAGCAGTGTTTTTCCTGTTAGAGGAGACTGATGTGGCCTTGTCATAATCTACAACACCCCCTCTATACAGTCGGTTCCATGTGACACAATTCTCAATTCCTAATATTTTCAGCCTATACTCCATCGCAACGACCACCCTCATGAGGTGGGAGGCACACACTTTAAAGCCGGGGTACCTCATTTTCAAAGCACAACAATGTATTGAAATAATAATGCATTGGTTTTATATAGAGCTTATCTGGACTCACAAAGACACATGTCTTAAAAAAAATACTTTCGGTTTAGGACAAATAAAACATTTTTTAGATAAGATAAGATAAACTTTATTCATCTCACAATGGAGAAATTTATCCATGCCAAATTTATCCATTTGGCATGGATAGAATCAATCAGGTTGTGCAAAAGACAGAAGTGTTCAAAATTGTTAAGGTTAAAAATATAGTCTGTGCAGGATACAATATGTACAATAAAAAGTGGCTATAGCGATTCCTACCCTTTTGAGTTCAAAATAAAGTATGGTAGTGTCAGATTCTATTTATACATTTTAGCTTGAAAAATAAAATGTGGTCAGAGAATTGTAAATTGGCTTTTTAACAAAACGCAAAACTAATGCAATATTATGATGGTGTTTGTTGCTTTTTAATGACAAACTGAACTTAAAGACTCCAAACAGGCCCCAAATAATCCAAATGAGCTTTTTGTGTTTATTGCATGTGTTCATTACCTGCTGACAAAGTAGAAAGAGACGAGCTTTATGATGTTGTCAAAAAGCAGGAAGGAGCCGTCCAAATGGAGAACTAGAATAGGAAATGTATTTAAGAAACATGAAAATAGTACATCTTAGTTTGTGGGAACCTGTGGGAATCATGAGGACATTTTTTCATACATAGACATATTTTCACTTATTAATCACTACAATTGGAGGATGATCTCTTACCACCAGATCTAGCAAGGTTAAATTGCCACAAGCCAAGCCCATAAATAGATATGACTGCAAAGGTATTAAAGGGACAGTATGTAATATGCACTCTGAGTGGTCTACTAAGGTCATTACAATCATCATAATTCTGTTGTGTCGTTTTTTGTGTGTTAATTAATCTGGTTTTAAAAATGTATTCTTCCCGGCCTGCTTCAAGTCCTCCCTCATTGTTCCTGTCCCCAAGAACACCAGGATCACTGGACTTAATTACTACAGACCTGTGCCACTCACATCTGTTCTCATGAAGTCATGTGAGCGTCTGGTCCTCTCCCACCTCAAGTCCTTCACCTCCACCTTCCTGGACCCTGTGCAGTTTGACAACAGAGCCAACACATCTGTAGATATGGCGTCTACCGATCAACAGATCTTGCCAGACCTTCATCTGCACCTTTGGACTGCCACCCCCCGGCCCAGACTCGTCGGCTGCTCCCCCCTCCCTTTCTGGGAGCTGCCTCAGTCCTGCACCGCATGGCCTCGGTCCATATTCTACCATATTCTCTCTATTCCTGAGTCCTGGTAAAGTCACCCAAGATAGCTACGGTTAAGATTTAGGGCTATACAAAAGAAATGTAATTGAAATGAATAGACAATGAATAGACAATAAACCTGGCCCTTCACTTCATCCTGCAGCCTCTGGACTCCCCTGTAGCCTTCTCCAGTATTGTGTTTGTGGACTTCATCTCTACCTTCAACATCATCCTGCCATCCCTGCTCTTGGACAGGCTCCCAGCTCAACATGCCCAAATCCACCTGCAGGTGGATCACTGACTTCCTGACGGACAGTTTGCGGGAGATACCACCCTCATTGGACTCATCTCTGACAACGATGAGTCCGTTTACAGGAGGGAGGTGGGACCAGCTGGGGTCCTGGTGCAGTGGTACAACCTGGAGCTCTATCGCCCAGAGGACATTGGAGAGGATTATGGACTTCAGGAAGACCACGATCATCATCTGCTTGAAAACTATAAATGTTTTATCACCATCGTGATCATCATTGTCCATTGTATTTTTTTATTAAGAATAAATCCTCTTTAAACTTTAGTTCAGACCTGTTACCTGGGGACACATACAAAATATGTAGATGTTACTTACTTCTGAATGCGCTGGAAATGGCAGCAAGTCCTAAGTACAGTAGCTCTGAAGCAGTTGATGTTTTTGTGCTTTAAGTTTGTTAGTTTTCTTGCTTTTCTCTACCAAAAAATGTTGCTGCCGTACAGTGTTAATGGTCCAGAAAGGAGTGGAGAGGAGTCATGGTCCAAAACAAGCGGATCAGGCAAAAATCCATTGGAGGAATGCTAACTTTTTGAAAAATGCTAATGAAGCATTTAGCATTTTACTTTGGACCAGAGCAGAGAAAATGATCCGAACCAAGTGGCCACCTCTGCTGCTTTGACCAGTTCTGCTCCACCCGGAGGCTACACCACCTCTACCGCTGCGGCCCATCCTGCTCTGCCCAGGGGCTGCACTGCCCAGGGGCTGCACTGCCTGTCCTGTCCTGCTCCACCCCCAGCGGATGTCCCACCTCTGCTGCTGTAACCTGAAGTGCTGTTTCTTTCTATTACTATTACTATTGTTAGCTTTTTAGAATGATCAATTTATTTGTTTTGTTTGTGTGGATGGATGTGTTTTTGCCGCTACTGGACACCTGAATTTCTATCTATCTATCTAAAATGAAAATATTACATACTGTCGCTTTAAATATAATAGATAATTTATTGTGCTGTCAAAATGGTGGTGAATGTTCCTTCCATATTACAAACTATACATTCAGCACAATCTCATCATTGTTCATTTTGTCTGCCATGCCACTTGTATAGCACAATTCATACAGGGAAATTCAACATGTCCGGTCATGTCTAATTTTTCACTCATCTTAAACCCATGTATTCTGTAGTTGTCTGATTAAAAGCTCATACATGCCCCTTGTTGTCTCACTGTCAGGGTGAGCACTGCTGGTCCCTGGAGGTCAGGCGTTCGCACAGACAGCGTCACGGCCGTCTCCTCTGCGCACTGAACCAAGAAGACCTGAGAAACCAAAACAGCTGTCAGCGAAGAGGTAAGAGCAGAGAACACGCATATACTTACACACACATTTGGTGCACCCCCCTCAAAAACCCAAATGTGAACGCCAATCATTATTGTCATTAAAAAAGTCTGCCAGGAGGAAAAGGGTTGATCTAAATCTGTGTTGTTTTGCGTTAGGCTCCAGGTGATACAAATAAACACATACAAATGTCCTTACCTTTTTGTTCCCTGACTTCAAAATAACAAATAGCTAATTAAAATAATTTCAATATTCATTTAAATAGCTCAAGAGACAGACTTAACATAACATAATAATTCGACATGATATAATTCAATTGTAACAACAAACTGGTAGGTTAATCCAAGTTTACTTTTCTAACATTATTCAGGTGACCACTTTAAAAGTAATTATGTGACTGAAGAATATTTTTTCTTTACGTTGGCAGGTTTTTCCCCAGCTGAAATAGTTTTATAAAAGTAAATTGCTGTAAACTAATCCACAACATGCTGTCTTTATGCTGTCTTTTTGTTTGCATGCTTCGTTTGTAAGAAAGAGTCACTAGTTGATGCTTCAGGCTGAGACTGAATGAGTCTTTTCACTTTTCTCTTTGACAAAGCTGATCTAAAGATCTGACAGAGGCCGTAGAACCAAACTGTTTTGAGAGTGAGGGACTAGTGTGATGGTTTTCAATACATATTGTGGTTGGAAAATTACGTACCCCAGCTTTAATATTCTTGCAGTATTTGTTCATTACCACGGCCCAATGGCTTTGTTATAGAAGAAGCCTTAATGATATGACATATGTAACCGCCTGGGGGTCTAATTTATTCTGTTTTAAAAGACAACACAAGTATAAAGATTTAATACAACTTAAAGAAATTCGACTGGATCTTTAAATTCAAATATTGCACGCAGTGACTATTAAAGAGCTCCTTTCTGTCACAGCGGAGAGTGACTCTCTATGTTCTTTTTATTGTAATACGTTTTCGCAGCGTGCATCTTCAGTTAGCTAATTTAAGTCTAAGGACATTTCCTCTGTAAAGGAGCAATCTATGAGTATTGGGCAGTTTTCCTATGGTTCTTTCTTGCTCCGAACACGGATTAACTAAATACACACAACCAAGAGTTCCTTCCACACAGTGGTCTCTTCTTTACTCTCGGCCTCAGTCTCTGTTAGAGTCTCTGCTTCAGTCTTTGTTTCAGTGTCTGCTTTACTCCCTGCATGAGTTTCTGCTTCAGTCTCTGCTTAAGTTTGTGCTTCAGTCTTTCTATACCAGACATTTGTCTGGAACCAAATACTTTTGCTTCTACTAGAAGACAAGATGAATCTTGAGTCTTTGTTAAAGATTACCACTTGATAACTCTGGAAAATTTAACATTATGAATAGAGATTCCATAATATATCAGGAAGGGTTGCTTTGCCATTTGCCAGAGTGAGCCCCACAGACTCTTGTCGAAGGAAATAACAAAAAAACAACATGGCAAGAGATGGAATTATAGCAGCTTAAAACTTGTTCCTAGAAAAACCCTACAGTTTTGAAATGTTTGAGTACTTTGTCTTCAGGAGCGATAAGTGTTACAGACAGAAGTACTAAGCAACGTCTTGTTTGGTTTATGCAAATATATTTTCTTTGGCAAAGGAAAGTATCGCTGTTTATATATGGTTATCGTAGTCCACTGTCACATATTGCACTTATTCCAATAAGGTTTTGTACACACAAGGGACTTTTTCAAATGTATTCCAATGTGGTTTTACTGCAAAAGGCAAATAAAATTAATCTGAATCTGCACAGCCTGTATTTTGAAGGAAAATCTTAAAGGAGCTGTATGTAAAAATCTGGCCAAAAGTGGTACTGCACTCTCGCTGACTTGGGTGGCCAGATGTGCAGACGAGTCCAGGCGGGACCATTATATCTGAATAAAAAGAGTTAGGTCAACAACAAATCTATGACCAACACCTTTTTCTCAAACATAGAAATCCTAGTTTCATGCCTTGTTTTGTCATTAATGATTTGAGAATAATAACGAGACCTCTTTTAGTTCTGCGGCCGCATGTTACTTTACCAGTGAGATTAGCTCGCAGTGAGTTCGGTAAACCCGGATCACAGACTTTATACGGATTAGTAAAACGGTGGAGAGCGGGACATCAAAATGAAAAAAATAGCAAGATTTAGGGGCTGTAAAACTAATTTTGAAATCTGAATATCTCAGCTGAACTACTGTTATCAGTTAAAGAAATATTTGAAAAGAGCATGGTTTATAAATGCCTTTTGAACGATTAGGGCCATATAATGATGAATTGAAATGAAAATCTTACATATTGCTACTTTAATACATCCATCTCACCAATGTATTCGTGATCATACTGTATGAACTTTAAAAACACAACAACACACAAGAGCTACATCGTCTTCTATACTAACCATGCTCGCTTAGCTTCCTAACTACATTTTGAGTTCTGAGGCTTTCTAACACTGCGGCAATGGCGCGTTGACCCAAGACAAAAGTAGAAAAGTTGTCGTGTGGTTGGGACTTGTGTCAGCTTTTCACCAGCCGAAGACAGGAATGTGTTAAAATAAAACTTCTGACTTTAAAATAAGTCTATGCTAGAGTCATAGCGCAATGCACCCAGGACAGCTTTATAAAGGAAAGGCCAGTGCATGCGATGGGCCAAACTTGGATGGTAAGCCTGCATTGCTCAGTGTGTAAGGAAAGGTTGCTTCTGGGTTTTTGGTTGGAATTCCTGTGTTTTTGCATTGTGGGACCACTACTACTGTCCTTATGAAACAAGAGAGCATGATTTTGAATGTAACGTTTACCCCAGGTTGTTCCTCTTTGAGAATGCAACAAACTTCCTCCTGGCTCAGTCCTTTCAGCTGCCATATTGAATCTGTCTGCTGAAGTCTGTCTACCAGGCTCAGAGCTGCGGTTTCATTCGTTAAAGGATCAAAAGTGAAGTTTGATTCAGACGTGGAACATATTTTAGCCGTCAGAGATGCATCGTTTTGTTGCACCGGTGACGTGGGACTCGCAGGTGTCGGAGACAGCGGAGGGGGGAGGTTTGGAGGAGGGTTGAAGCAGGGAGTTTTGGGGGTTGAAGGGGGAGGCAGAGAGGGAGAGCGGGACAGGTTTGGGGCAGGTTTGGGAGTGGGAGGAGGAGGAGGAGGAGGCTTGGGACGCAGAGGTCTGGATGCAGGAGTGGGGAGTGAAGACAGGGCAATCAGAGGGCCAGGCTGCCTGCAACACACAAAGAATGTACTTGAGAACAGTGTTTCCAAAAAATATGCATTTTTAGTGGTCTAATAATTACTGTAATTCGTTTACACAATTATAATCCAACCTCCATTCCTGTGACACATGCAGCTTCTAAACACTGATTATTGGTTAGAAACGGTACAAACTCATTGTACATTGCATTACATAGTTACGACTACTTAGTTTTGTATCTACTTTTTCTTAAACAAATGTGTGGTGTTATTTTCTTGTTTGTAAATTTAAAAAGAAATAAAAAGTAAACACACAATAGATAATAGTTAATAACAGAATAATTGAAATGTATCATCTAATTTATCTTAATCCATATGGAATTAGCTATACAGTAAAAGTTGTGGTCCACAGGGGTGGGCAATATGGCCTAAAATTCATGTTGCGGTATAATTGGGGACACAGACGGTAAACAGTACATATTGCGGTATAATTTGGTGTGTGAATTTCTACATAGGTCTTGCTGAATCTAGCAGGTTCTTGCATAAAATAGTCAAGATTGTTACTTATTTAAAATTTCACTTTTATAGCTGGATAATGTCTATTTATTTGATACTTTTAGCATTTCCTTGACATTTATTGTGTGACCTAGAGAGGTCGCCATAAAACCACCTATTTGTAAGTTCCATTGTTGCAATTAGCAATTGTAATAATATATCCCGTTAAGTAAAGGACAGTGAATCTAATCAAGAATTAAACTGTCTATGTGTTTGCCTCATTTCCGTGTGCCTGAACGCAGCTAGCTGCGTGGAAACTAAAAGTATTCTTTTCTCTGAGCTTTTTTCCGCCATTTCTCGTAATATACCTTGATACATATGAGCAAAAATCAATAATATTATCTGTAAATAACAACACAAACTATTTACATGTTTATTTACACTTTTTGACATGCGCAAACTGAACTTCTGGACAAATCCAGTTACCAGGACGAATCCAGCTGCCACACTCCTCGTGCTAGTTGCCGGTACCAGCAGGCCAAGCGTGTTGCAATTTGATGACATAATGACCTATCGCAATATGCCGGTATAACAAAAAACTTGATTGTTTAAATTTTATCTTATACCGTTTGTATCGCCCAGCTCTAGGTCCGCTATTACATACACAACAGCTTCTTCCTATGTTACAGAGGAGGTGAGAAGTCTGTTCTGTGGTCTTGCTAAGAATATCTATTCAATCGTCGCCCAGACTTGTCTTGTGGTTTTCTGCAGCAACATCAGCAACATCAGCAATCCACTACACAGCACTTTGTGACCATGAGATGTTTTATTTCAATAAAAAGATAAGAACAAGCAGTGGCTAAATTTAACACAGGTCTAACAGGCCTCAAAGCGATGTCATGGTTGCACACAAGCATTACATTTGTGTTAAAATAAACATGTAGCTGTATGTAGAGAAATGTAAGCTCAACCAATCAAAAGCATCATAGTATGTTCACGGGACTAGCAGCATTGTGGGTATTGTAGTTCTAGGACAAAGATCTCACAATTACACTATATTTTTACAAAACTAGATTGATCTGAAATGTGCTTTTCACACTTTCCTCTGACTTTGAGATTGCTTTATTGACACAGAGCTTGTTTCATGAATGCACAAAGAGCAGCCTTTTCCTGAAATCCCTACCTCCTAGAAAGGTCTCATAGAAAGGTGGATTTTACTTCCGGACTTCCTAAATTGGTTTAAGTCTCATCTAGAATACAGGAAGTACTTTGTTGAGATTGGAAACTGTGTCTCAGATCATATGGCCCTTAAACTGTAGAGTGCCACAGGGGTCATTCCTGGGACCTCTTTTGTTCAATCTCTACATGCTGCTATTAGGTCAGTTACCCCAGTGTGCACCAGGATGGTACACACCAGAGCTCTTGCTACAGCGGCATTTTTTTCCAGCGCCAAAACTACACAGACGACACTCAGATCTCTGTCTCACTGACGGGAGGAAACACTCCTCACACAAACAAAACTAAAATAATGTACTTTGGTCCCCAGAAACAAAGAAAGTCTTCAAATCGGGTCAGAAATCTATAATAATAGACTAAGACTTCTGCATCAGCAGCTTTTTACCCTCTAAAATAGGTTAAAAAGCTGCTGAATTACCAGGATCAAAAGTATAATGTCTAAAGCAGATTTGTAGATTCTTATCCATGCATTTGTTTACAATAGGTAATGGCCTGTTCATTGGTCTCTCCAAACAAGCTCTGAAACAGCTGCAATGTATTCAAACGCTGCACCTCGAGTCCTGACTGGAACCAGGATGTACTATCACATCATCCAGGTCTCAGGTCTCTGAACTGGCTTCCTGTGGCTCAGAGAATAGACTTTAATGCATCTCTGCTTGTGTATTCCATGGCCTCGCATCAAAGTACATCCGAGACATGTTAGTGCGAAATTAACTTGGACACTGAGCAGCACAGGGACTGGCCTTCTACTGGTGCCCAGAGTCAGAATTAAACAAGGGGAGCCAGCATATCAGATGTATGCAGCTAAAATCTGGAACCGTCTTCCTAAAAATGTGAGACAGGCTTCTTCTCTGACAATGTTCAAATCCAGGTTACAAACAGCTCTGTTTAGCCGTGCACACAACTGAAAGATAGTTTCATCACTCTTTTGAATGTACTGTGATTATTTGACTTAACTTTAATTCCCTGTATTATTCTATCGGGTTTTGTTAAGCACTTTGAGTTACCTTGTGTTTGAACTGTGCTGTACAAATAAACTTGTCTTGCAAGTTTATTTGTAAACTTACAAAAGTAAGTGCAGAGATAAATTGTGTGATCAGGGGGTAAATCAGGTGAATATCAGAGAATTAGATTATTGTTCAGAAGTCCATTTACTTCTGTAATTAAACTTTCAATGTGAAACTATTAAACTAATATGTAATAGACTAATTTTGATCAATATTCACATTTTTACCTCTATTCTTGTTTGTGAAATCTGGCCATTGCTTAAATTGATTATGTAAGCTGTGAAACCATTGAAACAGGATGTTGCTGTTTTAAATACATTTCACAAACTGAAACCTCAGTACCAAGCTGAATTTAAATGACATGACTATATATATTCTTTGTCTTATTTTAAATATGACAAAGCATTTTCTGTTTTGTTGCAGTCCTTTTTTTTTTTTAGCACAGAACAAACCCAAAACAGTCAGAATAAGCAGTTTAAATGTTAAAGTCAGGGCCATGCCACTGAATAACTGCATCAGCTGACTGCTTTGTTTTATTTTATCGTCAGCACATTTCAGTTTTTGCTGGAAACGCAAACACAAATGTTGGTCCTTTTTGGGGATTTTTTTTTGGGGATCCACAGTTTTTCCTCCAAAGATAAGAATGACACAGAGTCTCCAATAATAATACATGAAACACATGAAAAGTAGGAAAAAGGAGTCACTATAAAAGTGGGTGGCAAAACAAATCATCTTAGAGCGTTTCAAAATATAAACAGCCGTGCACAGGACCAGGGTCACATCTTTAAAGACATTACACGCTTCTGTCTGCGAGGAGATAGAAATGTCTCTTCTTATCTAAACTGTCATATACTATGTTATTAAAATGGACATTATAAAAATTGACTTGATTTTAAGGAAAGGGAAGTTTATTTGCAAAGCACAGTTCACAAGGGAACTAAAAATGCTCAACAAAACAAGATAGAAACATGAAAAACACAAGGCAATGAAATCATTATTAATATTTACATATTTAGCTGCATAAATCTGAAATGCTGCTTTCCCAGGTGTATCACCATGTCACAACATCGTTTCCTCATCAGAACTGGAGCTGTTTTTAGATCCTTCCACACTAATATCAAAAACTTCTGGTGAAAGCATGTAACCACCCCTGCTGTCTAAAAGCTCCTGTCTCAGTCCTGTAATAGTATGATCCCCTTGTATCACATTGACATCACGCTCCGAGCAGTTTTTTGCCCTTGATAATTGTTGAAGACTTTATTTCACACTCATTCATCAAAACACGTAATGACAAAGTTATACGCTTATTTGAATTCTATATGAATTGAAAATTCTGATTCTGAAGATTCTGTCCTTTACCCTTTACGCAATGTCAGCTATGTAGTCTCATCAAATTCAGATCACAGCTCAACTTAGTGAAATTAGTAAAACAAATGCAGTTGCGGCGATCAGAGGCGTGAGGGGCTATTGTACCTCGGTCACAGGGGTATAAATGAGTCAAACACCTGTAAATTAGGCATCAACCAATATAATTGTAGGCTAGAGCCAAATTATTTGTCTATTCCAGCCTACTGGCCGAAAAACAATGACACTTTTCAAAAACACACGAACAGATATTAGTCTACAAACAGCTTTGCGCCATGTTGTAACAGTTTTGTTTTCTATATGTGTCTAAACAAGTGCTGTCTGTGATGCGATTTGACTAAACTAATCAATCACATAATTAAAATCACATACAAACAGCTCTGCTGTTACATCACATCCAGTTTGTACAGTGGGAGTTATAATTTTTTTCCGTTGGTTGTTTGTTTTGTTATTCAGACCTTCAAAGGTGTTGTAAAGTCATTGCAATTACAATCCTACTTTTGTTGCCAGAAAGCACTGATTAAATCTGCAATCCACCTGGAAACTCGGCATTATGTATGACTACTTATTTTTGTATTTGCTTTCATTGTGAATTTTGTTACATACAAAAAAAGCACAAAGCCAAAACCAGCTACATTTCATCCAACAAACTGGCAACCCAATTGAGAACGTCATTTTGCTCTCTGAATTGGACAATCCTCTTAAATATCATGAACATAGATATTATTGACATCATGTCCATTGCATATTGGATTCAGAATAACTGAATAATAGAAAAGCCCAGATTTGTTGTGTACATTTGATCTACTATCTGGGGACACAAAAGCACAAACAACTCCAGGTCAAACTTTGACAACAAGTGGTAATTTGTCACATATCCCTGAGGCTGGGTTGTACTAAGGATCCGTTTGATACAATAACTTATAGAACTCTTTTGAAATGAGGTTCATGAGTGTAAATGATGAGTGTTTAGATGTGGGTTACATCAGTCATGGTAATCATCAATGTAAACAGCTGCAGCTTGCCTGAGATGACCTTAAAACAGCCAATCCAAATAGCAGGAGTCAAAGAAAAGCTAGGTTTTTGCCTCATTTGTGAAGTAAATCTAGATCTAGTCGTTTTCAAAAAAAGCTTTTTTCAGTGGTCGAAAACCTGAGAATAAAGCTTTTCCGCAAGTTCTAACATCTTGCGGAAAATATGTGCTGAATTCCCACAAAGATACATCTGTTTTCGAAGTTATGAAAATTAGCCTTTCAGCACACATTCCGAGCAAAGGGCACTAAGACCTGAACTAAACTATCGTTAAAGGTGTATGTAGTATATTGTGGTTGCTTATTTGATGAATGAGTTAAAAAATATATATTTCGATTAGCTGAGTGTGGATCGTCCTCTCTTTTTTACTTTTCTGTGTTAAAAAGCTCATCGAAAGATGTGGCAGAGGCTGAAAATGTTCCATAAGCCCTAACACCATTCATTAGGGTTTTAAAGTTAGGTACCTCAGCTTTAAATTATGTCTTGAAGTAAGTTTTGCGTGTCTGGTTGTATAGAGGTCTCTTAAAGATAACTAAAAGTGAATTTGGACTGAAATAAAGCACCAAAGCTAAGTGTATTGCAAGTAATTTTTGTATAGCCTTTTTTTTATAAATAAAGGGCAAAAACAGGTCTTCTCTGCTCTAGATTTAACTGGGTCTATATCAAAACTAGGCTATTTTAAAAACAAGATTGTGATGGGGTGAGTCTGGTATACAAGAACAAGACTTGTCCATACTTCCTCCATATCAAACGCATATACTGCATTGAACCATACTTCTTGTTAATCATGCAAAGTCCACTTAAAACTTTTAGCTAAACTACCCAAACCCTGAAATCTAGCATGACCTATATATCAGTCCATGAGTCTTCACATCTGTTTTGTGTGTCATAGCAGCTTTTCTATTTTCCCCCTCCTCCTCCTCCTCCTCCTCCTTTTAACACATTCCCAACCCCCAAAGACTCAAGGCAAGTTTACGCAATAACTTTTGAACTGCCAATCTATGCACAGTTACTTCATATAGATGTTTGAACTTACCCGGGGTCTGCAACAAGAGCAGCTTCCATCATATCCACGGCTGAACTTTAGTCAGACGCCTCTAACTATGTCACTATACACTGAAAACGGTCAAGTCAAGCCACGCCTCTGCCGGTCTGCTGGTTCCGCCCTCATCCCCGCTCTCTTCCTGCTTCAAGCCTGAATAAGGGAAAAGTCTAAGAAATATGCTGGAGGCTGCACTGTAAAAATGACTGTCAGTACTTTTGATACTCTTGATAGTAAATGCAAACTTTTTTCAAATTCAAAGTTGTTTTAATAGCAGTAGGGAAACCTCACACCTCTGAATGTTGAAAGAAAACATTTGAATTATTGTGGCTCGTGAAAGAGGCTCGTGAGTCACTTCTAGCTCATTCCCACTGTACAAAAACAAGGACATTTTGACCAAAAAACCTAGGCCGCCCTTTCCTCACACACTGAGCGACACAGGCTGGCATGTCATAACGATTCTGCATTTAACCCGCCTTGTGACCAAGTCAGAGTATTTGACCCTCCTTGTGACATAGTTTGGAAACTGACCTAACCTTTCCAACCAAATGCACTAGTATTTTAGAAAGCAATACAACCAAAGTGTTTTATAACCTGTTGCTTGCATGTGAGTCAAATGAAGGTTATAAAACTGCACACAAATCACACATACTTTGCAGAATGACAGAATAACAAGCTGTGTAACAGGAGTGAACCTCTGAAGTTTGAAGTATGAAGTTTAGTTTCTGATCTTTCCGTGATGAAGTTGTCCTTGTAACAACATGTTGAAAATGGATGATTTTTTGAGCATGCCTCATTAGCATACAATTTGGATTGATTATAATTATAGGCCTTGAATGTAATGAAACTGAATCACTAAAATCCATGCAGATAGCTATTATAATTCAGATAATTTTCAGTCTTTCATATACATCTATATGCATGTATTCACAGTATGTTGTGCTTATTGAACTGCAGTTGGGTCTGTACTTTCTCACTGTCAAACAGGAAGAAGCTCGGCCTGCTGACCACACTTCCCCTCCAACTCCTGTTCTTTTTGCATCTATCACATCTATCAACACTACAATTCATTTTAGAGCTAGCTTTTGTGGTTTGGTCTACTCTCCAAATTCAATTATTTGCATTATTAAAAGTTCCATCACCAAAAATGTATCGAAATCAAAATCATAATGTGTCTCACAATATCATAATGATCATGTAGATTTTAGCTGCATGAATCTGAAATGCTGCCTACCCATGTTTGGTCTTGACTCCGAGCACCAGCAGAAATCTAGTGCCAAGGAGGCCAGTCCTTATGCTCCTCAAAGTCCGAGCAGGAGGCCAGTCCCTGTGCTCCTCAGTCCCAGTGGGAGGCCAGTCTCTGTTTTCCTCAGCGTTTGAGTTGGTTCATATGGCACCAAATACGATCTCAAAAATGTGCTCCTATACCAAAGAAATAATAATCAAGAAGATTTAAAATGTGCAGATTGTTACCACTAATAATGAGAGTGAAATGAGTCATCAGAGGACAAAGAATGACAAAGAATCTAACCATTTATTTGCAAACCAAACTATTCTCAAAAGTTGTTTTCACAGTGCAGACTTGTGTTGAGAGGCCATTATCATCCACATTTTTATATAAGTTTTTTTTTATTTTTTATAAAAGATGAATTTGTAAGCTTCAATCCATTTTCTTTCGCTTCATCCATTGCCAGGTCGAGGGGGGAGCAGTCTAAGCGGTGACGCCGAGCCTTCCCTATTTAACCACACCTTCTCCAGCTGAGAGACAGTTCCTCCAATGTGTCCTGGGTCTTTCCCGGAACAGATGCCCAAGCTACGTCAGCTGGTTCTTCTGAATCTGGAGAAGCAGCGGCTCTACTCTGAGCTCCTCCCATGTGACTGAGATCCTCACCCTATCGCTAAGGAGCGCCCAGCCACTCTGCTGAGGAAGCTCATTCCGACCGCTTGTATTTGTGATCTTGTCCTCTCGGTCATTACCCAAAGTGTTGTGTTTTACAGTGTATCTAAACAACTCTCCCATAAGCCGCTCCACACATGGGGCAGATTCACAGAGCCCCTCCTCTCCTTTCTTGCCCTCTTCTCTCCTCTTTAAAGACTTCCAGATGCCCCCGGCTGCAGCTCACAGACTGGAATGCAGTTTTATGTTCCTTTGACTAAATCAGCATTTTGGGACTTTACATTTGGCATTACATATTTGAATTATACACTACAAAAATAGTCTGCTTTAAATATTACCTGAAAACAATATCATTATTGTCCTCAAGTTTCCAAGTTTCTAAATGTATCCTCTGCTTTTGATGTGAGTGTAGTTATTTGATTATTTTGCACATTCACAATATTTGATCAATATTATTTTTAAAGCTGGGATATCTAAATTTTAAAAACATTAAAATCTATTAAACTCATATCTGTCATAAACACTTGAGCCGAAGAGAAATAGGGATAGCCACTTTCAACTGCCTAAAGTGTCAAATAGTACCTCACATGGTTCTCCCTTACAAATTGCAATAGTTAAATTTTTTAATAATTTAAAAGCATATTAAAGGATTTTCCTATAATTTTGGTCACGACGGAAGCATCAGTGGGAAGCCCAACCTGGGCTTTCAGCACATGCCATCGTTTGAAAGAATCTCCCAAAAACACCCTAGTCTTGTCTGACGAGCACATACAACAACCTTATGGGCTTATATCACCAGAAGGATTGACAATTAGGACGACCAATAGTCTTGATGATCCACCCGGAAAAAGAAATCCTTCAAAAGTAAAACATAGCGGCCTAATTTTTGTTTCAAAGTTATAAACCCAGTGGGAAAAAGTGAGAAACCTCAGGGTGGCCCACGACAAGAGGGATCCGCTTCCACTGATGGATGGGCTATAGATCCAGGACACACAATGCATGACGGAGGCGGCTCCCAGGCAGGAAGGGGGTGCAGCCTACGAGTTGGACAGTCCGCTGGTGCCGATGGCATCACACCACAAAACAGACAATGGGGCAGTGGTGGAATTGCAATGAACTGCTGAAGTCATAATGATTACAGATAAAGTAGGAAAGAGGAGAGGATCGTTTTAGTACAAGATAAGATAAGGCAGCCATTCCCAAACTCAGTAACACCGAGGCCCCCTTAAAAATCTGACGGGTCTGCGTGGCCCCCCCAAAATAATAACCAAGAAGACAACATTAAGAATAGGCTCTTCTGGTTATTTTATTTTGGGGAAATAGCCTCTGCTACAAACATTGTAATACAAAAATGATTACAGTGGATTATTCAAGTCAAATAATGAACACAAATATTTTAATATTACAAACAAAACATTATAAATTTAACATTAAATAATTATATTATTTTTTTATGACCTCCCGCGGCCCCCCTGCAGTACCCTCGCGGCCCACCAGGGGGCCGCGGACCCCACTTTGGGAGACACTGAGATAAGGTATACTTTATTGATCTCACACAGGAGAAATGTACATGTCACATCTGGCATGGACAGAAACACTCAAGATTGTACAAAAGAAAGAAATGTGCAAACATGTTAAATGCAGGATATATTATGTACAATACAAAAAGTGGCAATTCAAATACAGTACAACTTATCTACGTCTATATTGTCTGACATAGTGGGAAGAAGTGCAAATCTTTTTGGAAAGTAAGCTTGTGTGACTTGTAAACTGAGTGTGCACAAGGAGAACTGGGCTCATGCATGTCTCTTGTTTTAGTAGGCATTACCTCTCGGGAGCAGGTAGAGCGATGTGCATGTGCATTTTTTCAAAAAGTGGAGAGGGCGGTTCTTTCCTAAAATTTGGTAATATACTCTAAGTGCACAGCGAATACGACAAAAAAAAACCATGCAGTTCTGGCGCCTGGCCCGTAGTGTGCAGTGGAACTTTACAACGCGACACCCAGCAGTATAATCACTTCCTCAACAACACAGGTGTCAAAGTCAAGGCCCGGGGGCCAGATCCGGCCCGCGAGACCATTTCCAGTGGCCCCTGAGATGATTTTAAATTATTATATTAAAAAGCAGCATTTTGAACAAAACTCTCTGGTCTTATTTGACGAGCACAAATCACCAGAATGATTGACAGTTGGGAGGACCAATAGTCTGATGATCCACCCGGAAGTAGAAAATCTTCACATTAACCTTCAATATTTGGTCCAGTTTTGGTCCAGTCCACAGGAACTGAACTAAATCTATTCAGAAAAGAATATCCAGTCTAACTAATGTGAAATAAGTCATATATATAGATACCTTCGTATTATAAAAAGTATAAAAAATGAAACCCACTTCTTCTTTCGGCCCCTGAACGGCCCTTTAATTTTCTTTTCGGCCCTCAACCAAAATAAGTTTGACACCCCAGCTCAACAACATCCTCCTCGGGCCGCCGCAAAGACATGAAAGAATGCATCAACATCAATCTGCATTTAACAGCAGCTGCAAAAATGGAAATTATAACTGCAGCATCGCGTGGTTTCATTTTGACAGACAAAAGAGTAGAATTCTCCTCTGTGTAGCGCTTAAAGCACACGTTAGCAGCAGATGATCCGCCGCCATTTTTGTTTACGTTTGTTCTCGGCTACTGCGCATGTCCAAATGTCCGTGTGGGGAAGTGGTGAAGTCATAGCAGGCAGAGAATTCTCACCTCTTTCTTCACACGGCCGTGAAACAGACGGACTGTTCTGTTCTGGAGGCTGTTTCTTAACGCCCTCCTGAAACACTTTCTTCATGTAAATGAAAGGCCAATTTGTTTCCCAACTCTAACGTTTTACTGTTGCAGCGTCCTTGTGTAAACAGCACTATGTCTTACCTGCGAGTCCATATGCTAAATTAAAGAGTTTTATGCCTGGCCTTGAACGTAGACTGTGTCTGCTTCCAACGTGGATGGGAAGCTGATTCCACAGTGTAGGAGCTTGGTAGCTAAATGTTCTGCCTCCAACTGTGCTGTTTGACACTTAAGAAACCACCAGAATTTTGTGAGCGCAGTGCTTGGCTTGGTTGATATGACACTAAAGTGTCTTGGAAACAAATT